AAGGACCACTGTTCTCGAAGGCTGTTCTGCTCCCTGATGACCCTAGACACACAAGGCCCCGGCTTGCACCATTTCCTCCACCACAAGTTGATGTGATCCTAGCCAGGAGACTAGGCCGATTAGAGAAATCCATGTAATCCTCTGTAGTGAACATTTGGGATTGTCTGACTTGAGAACTGCTTTTTTTCGAGCAGAGACTAAGGGATCCAAATGGCGTCCTTCCGTCCATCCTCCGTGACTGTACACAAATTTGAATGAAGTCTAATGTGAAATCTTACCTGCAAAAATCAATTAGGGTTGCTAACTTTCCAACCCTGCATCTGTTTGTAACCATACTTGATTGGTAGATGCCCTTTATTGGCCTCCATGATATTCTGGAGTTGAAGGTCACATAAGTAGGTCAAAGGTCAAATGAGGTTCATTGTTGCATGATTGCATGCAAGACTCTTAATCGCCTCGATTTAATTTGTCCATGTGGCATGTTTTTAGGCTATCTTGAGGATTGGTTGGAACTTAACATTTTGGACTCATTTGGTTGCTAATGATTTTGTGGTCCGGAGGTGAAAGATTGCATGGCTTAGCATTACGAGCATGTATTCTTGATATGTCAGAGACCCTTTGACAAAATACCACCAAACTTGATACTAGAGTGTCCCTGGGGATCATGGGGATGTGGTTATCTGGAGAAAAAAAATCACATAACACATGATATACATGTACCAGAAATAAATTGTTATTGTTGCTAGATTAGCCACCATGCTTGGCACTTGTATATTGTATTACAATAAGAGGTTGGCAAGTTTACAAATGGAAGAAATGTAGGAATATAAAAGACAAATTGTGACATCAGTGTATAAAAGCTCTATGTGATTTATACAATTCATAATTTGTGATAAAATCAGTGCTTGCTCATGTGGAAATGGTGGATATTTCAATTTGTATCTATTTGGCAACCTATATTCCTTGAAGAAGTTACGGTAGTAATTATAAAATTTACAGCCAAGAGGTCAAACCATGAGTCAACAATGTGTTTGGTTTTAGTGACTGTGCATGTAACCGAGGTGACAGTCGATCATGAAAAAGACTATACTTCGGAACCTGTTGAAAATCAACATGGACAGAAGAAAGATTTGTAGAATATCTTATTGTAAATAGTCTTCATTTTTTGTTTAATGCAATCAATGTGACTAAAATAATGCAAGCGAAAAAGAGAAATGATCACAAGACAGCAAAACAGTTGGTTTCATGCATCATTTGAATCAATGAACGTGAATCAGCTCAACGCCAAAGTATTGCGGTTCAAGGTTATACCATCAAGAGATATGCTGCCTGTAACTACTTTGTAGTTTGAAAGGGTGTATAAAGGAATAAGGATACAGTTGGGCAGGCGAGTCTTTCTGTTGGTCTATTGTAAAAAAGTGGGTCAAATTTTTTCCAATTTTTTTGCAAATTGTAATAAAACTTGGTATACCGATTGACCCGAGGGTGTGCAAGACACATTTGTTGTGTCTGTCTGTTAAGGTACCTCCATGGTAACCAAGCTTTGCACAAAGAATACAATTTTGTTTTAATAATCTTGTGGAGCATATTCTTTCCAAGTTTTAGCAATTTTATAGTTTTGGTATCTTTGATGAGGCATTATAATAACAGTATAAAACTCAATGCATGTGCAGTGTGTAAAATAAGTATGTGAGCAAACTATTGGAAGTAGTTTGATCGATTCATATGAAACTCAGTACACACAACGCAGAATTGTCTTTTGTGTGTGTATAGGACATGACCAGTTTTGAAATGTCTGTGCTATTTTTTTGAAAAACCTTATGTTGGATGTTAATCACTTGAGGTGATATTCATAGTCGAGCATTAGGGAAGATGAAAGACATATATGTACCTAACTATACTTAATTTTGTGCTGAAACTGATATGATTCAGGATTTGAGATCGATATGGAGTATGTATACATGTATACTCGTACACATTAAGGAAAAGAATCACTCAGACAATTTTTAAAGCATTTATATATAAAGTAAGATGTGAAACTTAAAAGATAAAACCAGTTATGGTCATGCGACTGCATTGTGAAAGGATTGTTGTGGAATCGATCAGAAAAGGTTGATCATCTAGCATATAAGTCTTGGTGTGTACTGCAAGGTTCTAGAATCATCGAAATGATAAAAAAATTGGCCCAGTCTTGGTAAAGTTACAAGCACTGTACACAGAAAGATGTATATGGGACTACGCACAAGTGCGCGACACATGCGTTATATCTATCAAGTCCAAATAGATATAATAATTTACCGAATATATCAATTAGTAGGCAGTTTCTCGGCAAAATTTGTATGATCACGTACTAGTCAAAACATTGTGTGCGGGCAAGCACTGAATCAAATGACCGGGGTAATAGTATATTTGTCAAGCGCGTAGAAACATTACTGTTATAGATACTTTTCTTTGGTAAACTTATCTACACATTGCCTATAGAGTATGTCAAGTTTTTATGAAAGACACAAGATAAGATGTATATAAATAAGCAGTAACTAATAAGTAACAAGACATGGTGGTATACAAATAAAGTATATTGCTCCTTCTTAATGACGACGGTTAAAGTTGTCATAGCGATAGATGCTAAATAAAAATGTGCCTTTTTTAATACACATGATCTGTTTGTATGCAATGGTTGAAATCAACATCACGTTTAAATATTGCCTTCAGTACAGCAATTATAATTTGTATTCATCTCAATAATGTTGTGTAAATTTAACTGTTAGTTATGGCCGAATAAAGCTTTCAATGTACACCATAAAAATATGTTATGTATCTTCATTTTAGCATTACTATAATTATATTAAAATCTTATGTCTTTACACATTTACAAGTTATCACGTACTGACGTAGGTCATGCAATACACAGGCACTGTAGAACACAACTTATTTACAAGAAGTTACAATCACTTTTTTTTTAAACTTTACAATTGCATGCAGTACCAAAATAAGAATACTGAAAAACACTGCATTATGGACAAGTATGAATCAAGTAAGATGTTAAATTAATTCACTACTGTTATTCATTATAGTATACTGATACAACAATTTTTAATATTTTTTTTAATTTATTTCTTTTTATTTCTCCACTTTCCCTTTAGCCATGTACCTTCATGTTGTTATATATGTTAAAGGTGTTGCTCTGGACCTATAACATATGATAAGACAAAAAATCCGCCAGTTATTTCTGATTTCTATCAAATTTTTAGATTTTGTGTTGTTGTTGTTGTTTGGTATTATCGGCGTTTCATTCTTTTTTAGAATATTTACGCCTTTCACTTTATTTCTTTTTTTTCTTCTATTTTTGGTACTATTTGTCAATTCATATTCATCTCTTTTTTTTGGATAATATAATCTCAGATCTACTGGTCCATGAAAACCCCTCACCGCAATTGGCACCTTCCTGCCAGACCGGCGCGGTACATTGCGCAATCTTCTCGGCCATCATTGGCCAAGGCAACTCTGGTGCCGGTGAGAGGATTCTGGGGTAGATCTTTTGAGTCTCTTGTTTGGGGTTTACCGTCCTCAATCCGTCTTTACTCTTTCTTACCTTTTCTCTTCTAGTATTTTTCCATTTTGTAAAACCTTATTTTTCTATCAAAGTGGGTATCAACATCTTAGGGCATTTGGTTGTCGTGTGATATGTGCCAAAAAAAAAATGTGGATTTAGTAATTCCTTTTTGAATGAAACATGGATTTAGCTTCTTTTGGAATTGAATGGATTTAGCTCCTTTTGGAATGAAACTGTAATAATGTTGTTTACTTTCTTTTCGAAAGGTTATATTTATGTGTGATTTCACTATTATTATTTAAAAGGAAAGGTTTGCTGCTAAATTTGAATAAAATTTCAGTGACTTTATTGAGAAAATATGATTTATTTTTTATTTTTTAGGTACAATAACATGTTTCATTCCAAAAGGAGCTAAATCCACGAAAATAAAAAATCAAAAAATTTAGTAAACATCAGAAAAGCCGAAGGGAAGATTTTTTCTTATCATTATTGGCAGATAATCAGGTCCATGCAGGGTGACACCTTTAACATATATAACAACATGAAGGTATACATGGCTAAAGGGAAAGTGGAGAAATAAAAAAGGCAATTTACTCAGAAGTACCCAAAGTGGATTTGGCTCCTTTTGGAATGAAACTCTTCACATATTATAAAAGGAAGACAAGTAATATAAAAGGAAAAACGAAGGCCCACGTCATTTACATAGAAGGTAGGTGGACAGATAACCTCGATGTTTTTAATCTAATTTCATCTGGGAGATCATTCTACAGCTTTGTTCCTACAAACGAAATACAAAATTGCCCTTGCGTTGTCTCACATATTGGTTGATAGATAGAGTAAGCCACTTTCTTTACACTGTAGAAGTAATCAACTGGGTCATACGACGTACAATACATACACATACACTACTACTAGGTCGAGCGTACTCGCACTACATACACATACAGTATTCGCATATCGCGCTCAAAAACAATAGCGCTACCAGTACCACAGACCATGCAATTATGTGCAGGCCTCGCATACCATAATGTGTACAATATAAATCAGTCAGCGCGCTACAGACATGGTTCGGATATTACTTGCACGCCCATATCCGATCGTCGTCTTGGCGAAAATTCACGGTGTGCTGCCGCTTGACCGAGAGGTGGCGCTATACAATTACACTGAACACGCCTCGAAAGTAAAATTTTTGATAAATAAAATCATTTGCAGTCGAACAGGTTTTTTGCATATAAATTCACTCTAATGTAATATTTCGGATTTATATCTTCAATGATGCATTCTTAGACATTTATTGTATGTTTTTTATGTTTAGATCATAGTTTCGTTCGCTAATGTGAGTATTGACCAACACTCAACTATTCCTTTAAAGAAAAGTAACATGTTAATAAAAGTAGATTATCATTGATTGAATTATAGTTTTAATTATTATTGTTATTTTCTGCAGGTTAAGCTTTACACCAAGCAAGGAGCTTTGAAGTATCAGACAGACTGTGCCCCTAACAATGGCTACTTCATGATACCAGTCTATGATAGAGGAGACTTCGTTCTCAAGCTAGAACCACCATCGGGATGGAGCTTTGGTAAGGAGAGGGTTATGAACAAGCACCTCCATCATTATCATTATGATCATCATCATCACATACCTGCCAACCCTCCCGCATTTTCCGGAATATTCCACATTTCTGGAATTTTAGGACCTTAAAATGCGGGAGATTCCGCATTTTAGAAATTTAAGCCAAATTGGGCTTGTTTTACCATTTGCCGCGATTTGTGTGGGGGACGCTCTACTGACTGAGCCAACACACCTATACTTCAGTAATGATTGGTGCAAAAAAAACCTTCATGAAAAACTAACATGGAGGAAAAATCTCCTGAAAGAAGATATTAAGTAGAACTTTACTAGACGATAGTTTTGAATGTTGTCAGTTTGGCACGAAAGCCTAGTTTCCCCAATTTTATAATCTTGATTATTCAGATATAAAGAAATTTATCAATAGCCTCACATAGCCAAAGATTAGATGATCCTACATTTGCTTCAATGACAATAACTCCGGGATTTATTTTGTCAAATGCGCAGGTAGGGCTTGACACTAAAAGGCACCCAGGACATATGGGCACCCAAAATATAGGTCCGTACCCCCAAAATTTCATTTTAAAAAAACATCCAAAAAACTACTGTGGAGCACTGGATCGGGTAAGGGTAACAATTGGGTTTTAGCTTTAGGTTTAGGGCTAAGCTTAAGGCTGGTCCAGAGTCGAATTGTGTAGGAAACTTACGCGAAGCAATTGTTGCTGGAGGAAGTGTCTCACCAATGATCATGATTCATCTGTAGGCTTGATCGTTTAGTGACTGACTATTGTGAAAATATTTAGATTTTCTCAAACATCTTCAAATCGACCTCTTCTTTTGACAGAGCCAACGAGTGTTGATCTCAAGATTGACGGTGAGAGTGATCCATGCAGTCAAGGAAAGGATATCAACTTCTTCTTCAAGGGATACACCGTCTCTGGAAAGGTAGGCCACTAAACCCATGATAAGTCTCAAACATACCTGATGTAGCAATATTTTGCCAAAAGAAAAGAAAGGCTTTCGGTTTGGCGACTACAAATTATATGAATTGTAAACTCTTATTTGACTGTCAACCATGTTTACTTCTTATTTCTTTCTTTCTTTTTCTCTTCCTTTTATTTTTCTCCTCCTTCTTCTTTCTCTTCTTATGCTTTTTAAAAAAAAGTTCTTTCTGTCTTATTATTTCCTTATCTATTTATTACAAAAGTAAAGTATCATAAAAAAAAAAAACTTTTGCCCTGCCCATATGACAACTTGTGGTTAGAACCTGTATCTGAATTCGTCGCATAACTTTGCTAATATAGATGTTAGGTCACCAAATCTATTTCATCTCTGCCTATTCCTCTGTTTAGGTTGTAAGCAAGGGCAAAGCAGATGGTCCAGAGGGAGTGCTCATCTCTGTCAAACCAAAGGATAAAGATGCTGTTGCCATAGAAACACGGACAAAAACTGGTGGAGTGTGAGTACAGTTCTCTTATTCAGGGATGCTAGTTTTCAGGCAATAGCCTGAATTCAGGCCCTGGCGAGCATAGTTTAGGCTATTTTGTGTACAAAATAGCACATTCTAGGTGATTTTCATGCCCTCTGATCAATTCTAACTGGCATCCCTGCTTATTACTTCATCTTCATAATAGAAATATAAAACTTAATATCAAGTGAATCACCTTGAATTTGTGTATGGCTAAAGTATAGGTTTTTCATCAACAACAAGAGCTAGCACCTATTTTTAGGTCTAGATGTGGGGATTAATTTGGGGCAACTATATAATAAAGAAATCCATTGAAAAGGGGACCAAGAAATATATCTTCAAGGCTATAGATATTACTGTACATTCCTTAGTAACCACAGATATAACATGTTTACATTTTGTGTTCTGCTAAAAAGTGATTCACTTTGACATTAAGCCATAATATGAATCGATAATTAATAAATTAATAAAACTTTGTATCATTTCAATTTCCTTAGTTACAACATCCCCAACGTGTTACCCGGTGATTTCATCATCACAGCCTCTCATCCAACATGGACTTTTCAAAAGGTGAATTTTCTAGAGTTATGCACTTCAATATGTAGTTTTTTATCAAATATCTGTTTGTACTGGGCCCATTGCATAAAACTTGCCATTGATTGTGGCTTTGCCATCAATCATAACTTCCAGGGAAACCATCAATGGTGTTAGCTTTATGCAACATTGCCATGTCAGTATATCATACTAAGAGATCAATCCACTTTTATGTTGCTTGTATGTGAACTTGAAGAAGTTACAGTTATTGCAGTTTGTTTGACAGATCAACGTTTCCCTTTTTCCCCTTTTTCCCCTCTCTTTTTGAAACATGAGACTATCTTGTAATAGTTGAATTATTAGTTTTTAAATGTTGTTATTTAATTACAGACCCTAGGAAGAAAGAGGAATTAGAATTAACTTGAGAAAGACATTGCTAATGATAATGATAATAATAATAACAATATTGGATATTTGTATAGTACACTTATCCACCACGCAAGGTGCTCAAGGCACTCCAATATTACCTCAGCTTTGCTAGGTTATTGTTTTTGGTGCTTACATCATTCAAGGAATTATTTTCTACCAGTGCATGTTTAATGTCTGTATTAAGCATGATTAGCATACAGTTTGTTGCTTCCCCTACTGACATAATGGTACGTTTTTACACAGGCCAGCATTACACACACTGTCACCAAGGATACAGCCACTGTGGACTCTCCCATTATTGTATCTGGGTATGATGTAAGAGGCAAAGTGATGAGCGAGGGTGAACCAATCAAGAATGTCTTCTTTATTCTTTTCTCTGACACAGTGAAACCAGAGGTGGGCATATCTTAAGAATTTTTCTATTATTCAGAGAAAAATTTGTTTTATTTTCCTTTATTCTGTCTTATTCTATCTCTTTCCTTATTCTGGAAAGCACATAGGAATATGTGATTTTCAAATATTGTGTATTATTTTTATTCTATTTTTCTTCTTCTTCTTGTTCTTTTTTTTTCCTGTAAAAGAACAAAAATCTATGGTCTACGTTTTGAGAGAGAAAGAAAGAAATGCAACAAATGGCTTGAAATCACAGCTTAGCTACGTTAGTGTGTCAGTTTTAATTTTTGTTTCAGTTATTGTACAAGAAATTATTGACTTTTCCCTTTCAAGACATGAGTTAAAGGTATAGACCAGTTCTGGTCATGCAATTGCATTGTGAAAGAAACGTTGTGGAATCGATCAGAAAAGGTTGATCATTTAGCATATAAGTATTGGTGTGTACTGCAAGGTTCTGGAATCATGAAAATGATCAGAAATTTGGCCCAGTCTTGGTAAAGTTACAAGCACTGTACACAGAAAGATGTATATGGGACTATGCGATATCTATCCATGATTGGTAATAAGAGCTTCCATTTCATTATTTGAGAGGTGGGCGTTTCCGAAACTGGTCTATACCTTTAAAGGTAATTTACAGTCTTGGTAGGAGTTACATTAGTTGGAAGAAAAAAACATTCCTGCATTTTGGGGTTCCATACATGCATATGAATGGTACCGTTTAAAAAGCTCTGGATACACATAAGTATGACAAAATTGAATAATAGAAGATTGTTCCTTTCTCTTAAACTACACAGGATGTGGCTGGGTGTCAGAAGAGTGTGGTCAATGGCTACCAGTCTGAGGGGAAATCCCCCTTGTGCCATGTGCAGTCTGATGTGGATGGCCAGTTTGTGTTTCCAAGTCTTGGCAGTGGGGTTTATAGAGTGGTGAGTAAACACAGTATTCTTGCATTTTATTATGTAAGTTATGACGTTTGTTAGGATGAAGTGATTACCAGTCTCTTAGTTAATGTAGATTGTATTAGATGCAGTGTTCAATCATGTCAGACATACATAGTGGTCAGAGCATGTGTTCTACAATCGGTCATCGGTTGTCCATTCAGTAAATCAGTCAGTCATTTATTGAACATTAATTTACTTTTATTTGAAGATATTTGTGGCTTACACCCAGTAAATAAGATCGATTGATCGATCTGTAATTGAAAAACAAGTCAGAAAAAAATCTTGGAACCAGCAGGACTTGAACCTGCATCTACTGCTTGCCGGGCAGCGACTCTACCACCAGGCCATCACTGGTCCATGGCACAGTCGCGACTCTACCATCAGGTGTAAGCCACAAATATCTTCAAATAATTGAAATTTCTCCCAGGAAGCATTACATTTACATAAGTTAATTAACTTGTCCATAATCAGTCAATCAAAGCATCATCCATCCAGCCAAACTGTCAACCATTCTATTATATAAATATTTAAATAAATCAATAAATCACTCAGTAACCCACTCCACCAATCAATCAATTAATCACCCACTCAATCAATTAATCAATCAATCACCCACTCAATCAATTGATCAATAGATCAATCAGTCTGAATTTAATCAGTCAAGCAAGTATGCTTTCAATCAATTAATCAATCAATTAGTCAATCAATCAATCAATCAATCAATCAATCAATCAATAAATCAGTCAAGCAGGCAATCAATCAATGCTTCTCTCTTACCTGCAGGTACCTTTAACACTATGTCAATCTATCCTTTAATCAAGCAATATTTACTCCGCTGCTATTTACAGGAACCATTGTGTCAATGATAATGATGGTACAGTCAAACCTGCTTTAGTGACCACCTGTCTACAAAGGCCACATTTCTTGTTTCCCTTGAAAATGATTTCTCATTGAATCATGTACTAAAGGAACCTGTCCAGAAAGACCACTTTTTGTGTTTCCCTTTGGCGGTTGCTATAGATAGGTTTGATTCACAGCAGTTATATGGTGCCATATTTTTGTTTTAAACAATTCAAAGTTGCATTCAATCATTCAATGACTGCATGTATTTCTACTTTGTTGTGTGTAGGTACCTTTCTACATGGGTGAGCACACAACGTTCGATGTGGTTCCTTCATCACTTCAGTTCACTGTTGAACACAACACCATTCAGCTGCCTGTAAGTCAAATACACCAGTCTTCTAGACTCTGGAATTATATCTGTGCCGTTTCTTTATTGAATGTAGAAAGCTAACATACGGCCTCCTCAACGAGGACGTTTTAGGACAACTTCCAACAGGTCCACGTAATAAAGATTTCAAAAGGAACTTTACACTCCAAATTTGCAATTTGCAGACAAGGTAAAACAAAAACACTTTTCCAGCCATATGCATCTGGATACATCCTGTAATATGAATATGACACAAAGTCAAATAAGCATTTCAGCAAGCCGAAAAAATAATTGTTATCATAACCAGGGTCAGATAATGATTTATGATTGCATTTGATAATTACACTTTAATAATTCTTATTGCTATATTTTTATCTTTGAAAACAATAGTGCATTTGATGATTGCGTTGTGATAATTTTGATTACATTTTGACATAGCTGAAGAAAAAGTTTGATGATATCATCTCAAGGTCTTTGATTCATCTAATTTCATTTAAGTGTCCTTGATTGCATTTTGATATGATACGAAACACAAGTTTATTGATTGCATTGTTTTCTTTAAATTACAGACTGTTTTCCAAGTGGCTGGGTTCTCCATCTCAGGAAGAGTGCTCTCAGCGACTGGGGTATGTAAACAAAAAAAGGATTTCTGTTAAGTTTGTAACATCTGAAATTAGAGGAAAATACCTTTTTTTTTTCAGGTGTAATGAGGGAGGACAATAAAAGTAAGATAAAAGAGAGGTTCTAAGAGAAGAAAGAAAAGAAGATGCAAAAAGGAAGAGAAAGGATAATATGAATAAATGCTCATTCAGATGTATGAATCGGTAAACCACAATGTTATTTATATACCATGCAAGTGAATGACACCTGCCCACATGAAAGTTCCTATGCATAGTCACCGAGGTCTGTGTTATAAGATACACAGATGTGAAGCATATTGCATTTAAGTCATGTTTAAAAAAAGAATGTCATAGTTTACCATGTCATTAGCATGAGAATAAAGAAGAATAAATGCATATGGTGAAGTATCAAAACAAAGAAGGCACGATAGCTCAGTTGGTATAGAGCAGTGGTCTCGTAATCCGGCAACCCGGGTTCGAAACCAAGGCGATGCGCTAGTGCCCTTTGGTAAGGCATTAAGCCTCATTACCAGGTCCCTTGGAGAGGACCTAAAGCTGTCGGTCCTCTGGTTACTTAGTAACAAGCATTTATGCTTTCTTAGCAGTCAGGTAAAATAACCACCACTATAAATATTACTGTACGATCTAGAAGTAATCAAGCAAGATAGCTTTAATTTTATTATTTTATTCCCCTTTGTAAATATTCCAGGGTAAAGGAGTGGAAGGTGCAAAGGTCAAAGTTCAAGGCAAGCCAGAGGTCACGACCAGGTCAGACGGTACTTTCAGGATGGAGAAGATCAAGTCAGGAACCTACACACTGAAGGCCAGCAAAGAACATTTGACCTTTGACCCCCTGAATGTCAAGGTCACACCAAACACTCCCAAGCTACCGGATATAGTAGCCTCAAAGTAAGCAGGCTAAATATATTGTTTATATTTTATTATATGTTCTTGCAGTAATTAATGAAAACATACACATAAGGCCTGCCTTCACTATCTCGAGATTGCCAAATATCCAGCTATTTGAACTATCCCAATCGCAAACTACCCAGCTAATTTGCGTCTTCATCAGACCAAAGTAGCAATTAGCGGAATATTTCGTCGGGATTGTCATCCCAAGATATCTTGGGATAGTTTGCAAAATATCCCACTATTTGGCAAAATATCCAGCTATTTGTCCTGTGCGTCTTCACCAGACCAAAGACTCGCACTATGCGCTAATGCTGAGCAAAATATATTGAGCTAATTTCTCAAGGTCGAGTTTCAAGTTTCGAGATCGAATCTCGAGCTGATGATGACGCGATTTGTAACTTCGGGATTATTTCCCAAATCAGAAATAGCGGTCTATTTGGCAATCTCGAGATGACAAACACGCGCCTATGGTACAGTCTTTCCCTTTTCTAAATTATTTCTTTTAGAGCCTATCTGCACTAGTTTGGCCAGGAGGGATTAGACCTCCCTGCATGGTCACTGACAGGTGGTTATCTCATCAAATCAGCTCTCAATATACATAAGAAAAAGGGGACCATCAATTCAATTCAATTCAATCAAGTTTTATTAAAGACATGAATGGCAGTCATAGACTGCATTGTACATGCTTTCACATTGCAGGTAAAATACAATTGGGGGACCAATAGTTATTGATTAGGCATTGTTTGCTATTAAGAGGGCGCAAGTAACTACAAGTAGTGCAGTGGGGCTTTAACAAAATATGTCTTGCAGTTTGGTGTCTTCTTCTATGTGTTTCTTCTTTGCATACAGCTTTGTCCTGGTTCTTAATATCTCAAATACAAAATGCCTGTAATAATTTCTTCTTTGAATGCCTTCTTTTAGGTTCAGCGTTTGCGGTCGAGTGGAAACATCAGCGGGCGGCCAGAGGAAAGTCAGTCTGACCAAAGAGGGCAGCAAACAGCCTGAGATCGCTACAACGGACAAAGATGGAGCCTTCTGCTTCAGTGCAGCACCAGGAGCATATGTCATGGAGGTGGGCCTCCGTTTATGTTAGCAATTATTGTAGATATTCTCAGGTTGAAATTAAAAGACGTGTTACTGAGTGCCCAAGGGAAATCAATAATTTTGCTGATTTTACCCTGAAATGTGTTCCAAAAAAAATATAACTTCATCTAATGATTTGGGACAAGAGGGACAAATGTGGGTAAAATAACTTGTCCAAGAATGTAAGCACTGTGCAAATATCACATCCAGGTCGATATGAGTTGAACTAGTGGTACGTTCACTTGGTCAGCCTTCTGTCTTCACCTACAAACTGGCTTAGGCGGACCCCGGTTCCAAATTAAGTCGCGTCTTTCGGACGGTGACGTTCAAGGTCAGTCCCCAGACGTAAGTAGTCATATCTGATAGAAACAAGTCTGTAGAAACCCAATTACACACCCACACACCCAGTAAAAGAGTCGAGAGCTCTTATCAGTATCACTAACACAACACTAACATCCCTTTTGCAAAATATTCATTTACACTTCCCGCTTTCCGCCCACGTGAGGTAAATGGTTAGCCCGTAGAAATTTGTTCATGGAAAGCTAGAGCACCGTAATAGCAACGCTGATAAAAAGGGAAATGGTAGCACTTCCCTGCAGTTAACAACTAATTGTGTGCATATTTTGTAACTCGAGAATGGACTGGTTGAATTAGGCCATTGGTGAATATTTGTAGATATATGCTTTAAATGACACATTCTTTGGAAATATAAAGCAGGACAAATCAATTTTTCACATACTTAACAATGACAAAACTTGGTAAGGGTATTATTTATTTAGTTGTTAACTGTATCTGCCAGACTATAGCCCCTCTACTTAAGTTTCTTTCTTTCTGTTTTGCAGCCAATGATGTCGGAGGTTGAGCAGGCAGCTGGTCTACGCATCAATCCCGAGAGTCAGAAAGTTACCGTCTCCTCGAGCCCCGTCCTGGATATCAACTTCTCTCAATTCAAAGCAACGCTGCGAGGCTCCATCAAATGTCTGGGTGAGTAATATCTAGGAGACAATGTCTGTTCAGTGCCAGGAGGGCATTAAATCTGTGTCATTATATATGAATTAACGCCCTTATGGTTCCAAGCAGAGGACATTCCCTTTTTAATTCCTATTGAATGTGAAATTTCTGCTTGCAAGGAAGCTTTGTGAATTTTATGAGTGGTCCAGACTCACAACTATTTAATGACGTGAAATAATTTGCTAGTTATAAATGGTGGGAAATTCACAAAAAAAGATCAATGCTTTTGTGAAAATGGTCATTAACATAGGGCTTAAACGTCTATTCTGTTTAATCATTGATTTGACTGGTTTTTATTCAAACCATTTATGCTCTGCGTTGGCTCATGTTTTAAAAGATCTTTGAATTTAAGTGACTGAATTTTAGATGATGTTCATATATCTTCTAACATATTTCTGGTGCGTCTTTTAAAACCATTTATTTAATTAGAGAAAAACAGGGTCTGTAGCACTGTTCTAGAATTTTTAATTTCCTCATATATGTGTGCTAAAACCATGACTCTGAGTGTACATGTATATATATATATATACTCTCACTTTTTGCATGTTCACTATTCATGGGGGTTCCCCTTCTCCTGTTGAGCCATGCATTCATTTATCTTTGTAGCCAACGATGCTAATGTAAGACACGTGTTGTAGAAAAACCACACTTGTAATACTTGTTTCCAAGTGGTGATGGACAGATTGAACTCCTTTCTCTCCTATAGATGTTTGTGGTACTCTACAGCTGATGGTGGAGTCTAAGGATGGAAGAGGGTTCAAGAAACCAGTCCCTGTTTCCCAACAAACGAAGCAAGCCGCTTTCATCATTAAAGATATTCTACCTGGAAAATATTCAAGTGAGTCAACGTCTATATTAGATTCATGTTCCTATGCCAACTTTGGATTTTCATTATTGAAATACAAATTGCAGTTGTGAATACGGTAGGTGAAACAGTAGAGTAAAGAAAGAAAAAAGAATAATTTGTTTGTTCAATTTTTTAAACAGTAACTTATGGCTCTAAGAAATTTGTATGCAGAAGTTAACATTCATATCTCATTTATGAATGGAATATCACCAAATATGTAAGATGGGCACATAGTTTAATTAATGTAATTAGTGATAGCAATAAATCAATGAAAAATGTATACTTCTGTTTGCATTAAAATCTCTCATCGTTTGGACCTCCTGCCAAGATCACGTATTGTCAATTTTACATTGAAAAGCTCATTATCAAAAACACCCTTTTGAAAAGGTACAACAGTCCTTGAGTTATGAAGCCAGTTGCATGTCAATCCTGTTGTAACAAGAAAATTCATGTACAGTTTGTCATCCCTTTAACCCTCTGCCACTCACAGTCAGCGTGGTCCAGACCAACTGGTGCCAAGCCTAGTCCTCTCTAGCTGTGGAAGTAGTTGACCAAGTTAAACTTAAAAAGCCACTTGCATTTTAGATCTGCTCTAACTAGAAAATTCATGTACAATTTGTTATTCCTTTAACCCTCTGCCAGTCACAGTCAGCGTGGTCCAGACCAGTTGGTGCTGGTCCAAGTCCCCCTAGATGCAGAAGTAGTAGACCAAGTTAGAAGTATATAGGTCTGCTCTAACTAGAAAATTCATAAACAATTTTTTTCTTCTTCTGTTTAATTTACAGTCAGCGTGGTCCAGACCAGTTGGTGCTGGTCCAAGTCCTCTCTAGACGTGGAAGTAGTAGACCAAGACATCGGAGGGCTAGAGTTCCAACAGAGTGGCTACGTTCTTCACTGCCATGTGTCTCATCCTATTGAACTGGTATGAAGTTACAGAGTGCTGAGCTCGACTTAAATGGAGCCACGCGCAAGGCCCTGCCTGCAAATCTTCACTCTAAACCCCAATTAATTTGTGAAATTATAACTGAAATTAAAAAACAAAAGGTATCTGGTTTACTAAGTCTGTGAATGCACAGTCGTCATGTTTGTGGTTCACATCTTGTATTACTTCTGTGCAGTTAACAAAAAGGCTGGAGACAGCCTGATTCAGTTTGAGTTACCTGTATGATTTTATCTTCGCAAACATGTAGTACAGTTTATGATTTATTTTTTCAAAGAAAAACATGTTTAACTGTCATAGATAGTACATGTACAGGTGCTGTAGTCTAATGGATAAGTCACCCGACTGCAGATTACAAGGTGCGGGTTTAAATCCCAGCCCGGCACCAGTCCTTTGGCAAGACGTTAATCTACATTTGCCATTCTCCACCCAGATGTTAAAATGGGTACCTGGTAGTGTAGTTTGCTCAGCTTTGTGAGCGTCTTTTTTTTAATGATGCCCGGCTGGAATGAGTGGAGAATGTGCATACATTGTGTGCGGGCAAGCCTCAATCCAATGACCGGGGTAATAATATATCTGTGAAGCACGTAGAGACATCGTTGATGTATTAAGCGCTATATAGAAGCGGAATATTATTATTATTATTACACAGCTATGAATATATTTTGTTCTGTTTCAGGTATATTCACTGGATCCATCTGCATCTTACAAGGGGTCCTTCACACTGAATAAAGGAGTGAATCAGTTCTGCTTGGAGAAGCCCGGTTCTTACAAACTCACCCCCAAATCATGTCACCAGTTTGAGAAGTCGGAGTATACCTTCCAAACGTAAGCATTTGTTTGCAAGTTATCATAATACGAAGTGATAAAGAATAACATATGTACATGTATATAGAAGGTATATAATATAATGTATATTAAACAAATATACCATGCACTATCAAATATATCTTGATCGATCGCATATCTATGATGTCATTCATGGTATAGTGCTCTATACCATGGATGATGTCACGGTATAGCACATATTTCTTATCGGTAACATCAAAGCAATGTTCTGTTTGGTCACATGATGTTATGTTGACCAATCAATAAACAGGTTTTCATTGATCAAAATATATGTATTTAAAGCATCTATCCCTTTGAGTTGTTGGGTCAACGATGTATTCTTGCTTTATTAAGTCACACACAAATTATAAAAAATTAATGTTGTTTGCATAAAACTTATTTCTTATTTTTTGGCAGAAAAATCATAGAAGTAAGTTTTATAACATATAGTGAACTTTGTAATGAAAAATAATTGCTGCCTTAGCTTTTAGGGGTATATTATGCCCCCTCCCTCCCCATTTAACCCTTTGGATAGTGCAATTTTATTTTATAATTGAAAAAATGTTGCATTGAATGCTTCCAGGCATTTAGGCAAATCTTTTTTTATGTCAACTTGTTTTTTTCTTCATTAATGAAATATTTTCCTCTCATATCCCTTCACAGATCTGCACCTAACATGTTAACACTCACAGCATTGAAGCATCAAATACATGCTGAGATCAGAACAACTCAACCAGTACTGGACATCACTGTCTCTATCAGGTAAACTTGCTCCTTCCTTGACATATACATGTATGCTACACAAATAATCTCCCTGTGCCACATTCCATTGATCATGGGCCATATATACCAAAGGCTTCAAGCTTATTAGCTATTTCCAGTTCAAGATTAATTTATACCGGTGTTAAAAGGGTTGTCATGGAGCTAACCAAGACTGGTAGTGGGAAAGTTGCAAAGGCATTTAGTCAAGTGGTGCACATGGTAGACAAGTGACTGTGAAGGGAGGCAAAGGAAGTAAGTGAATTTTCTGACTGCATGTTTTACAGGTTGTCTGTCCATCCATCTATATTTTGTTGTTCTTTATTTTATTGTGAGAACCATCTTAAGCATTTCAAATGTGGATCAAGTATGATCATGGATCTTCTTCCAGTTCATCTCTTCTCCTTCATCCATCTCTTTCTTCATATTTTTCTTCCCCTTTCTTCTCTTTCTCCTTCTTCTTCTTCTTAGGCCAGGAGCCTGCCCAAAATAGTCATCCAATCAAGCCCTTTTTAAGATTAAGTTCTTTAAAATTACTTGATCTAAGTATTTTGACACAAGTATTTAAAATACAGTTCATTTCAAATTTACTTGGTTAAAGATAAAGTTGAGTTCTGGTCATGTGATTGCATTGTGAAAGAAACGGTGTGGAATCTATCAGGAAAGGTTGATCATCTAGTATATAAGTATTTGTGTGTATTGCAAGGTTCTGGAATCATCAAAATGATAAGAAATTTGGCCAAATCTTGGCAAAGTTACAAGCACTGTACACAGAATGATGTATATGGGACTACACGAGCACATGGTGAAAAAAACCTACCCCTGGATTTTTACGATGTTTCATGTCATATTTAGAATATGAAGGCATTTGAAGAGCCATGCTTTTCAGGGAACATGTTTAATCTGATGTTCTTCCACCCTTGCATAATAACAATGATAACGCTCACAAATAATTTTTTACCTCTTCCCAGAACTCAACCTTCTCTTTAATCTTAAGATTTATATTTTCTTTCGTGTTTCCTTTGTTTGGCCTACTATGGAAAAAAGTGACTCAATTTGTGTCTGATGATCTTGTTTGTAAAATCTAAATCTGGATCCAACTTGTTCCCATTTCTATACAGCTCCGGAGGTAAACTGGAACAAACAGTCAAACTTGGTCCACTGAAATCAAGGCAACAACTGGAGCAGGAGTCTAAGCCCCCAGCAAAGAAGAGTGTGAACGAAACAGCTGAGAAGAAGCCTACACCATCACCTTCAGGTCCCCAGGTGTACGACGTTAGCCACTGGGCAGGGTAAGTCCTAGCAACATATTAAGGCCTAGATAAACTGTACTTAGGCACTGACCCAACCATGATTGGATGTAAAATTCATTTTAGTAGGATCAGATGCGGACTGTGGATCGAATTTGAAGGAAAAGATTAACTCACTGCTCTACATGTTCTTGTTCCAGCTTTCTTTTTTAATTCTAAGACTCACCCTTTATGTAAATATATGATAAACTAACAGTATGCAAATCCATCTATAATAGTGTCTAAACCAAAATGATTTCACACAACAATTAAAGCAATGACCAGGCATTAGCAAATATATGCATTATTTCATTTCAATTATGTATTTGAGGCCTCTGTTTCCTTTTTCTATGCTGAACAGTATAAATGCTTTATAACGGGTTACTATTTGTACATGCTCGTTTCAATAAGCAATTCTAAGTAAAGCGTGAAAAATGAAGCGAAGTGAATATAAATTCAGCCATGAAGTATATTCAAGGTGAGTGAGGACCAGTGAAACATTTATAAGTTACAAAATTACATCAACAAAATTTTTGCTACACTGTATGCTGTGCAGCCTGGAAAAAAATCCTTTTGCTATTTTTCATTGGGGGTAAAAAATGCCCCTGTAAAAGCTTTTACAGAGGCTACTTTTGGCAACAAGAGAGCTTTTTTTAAAAGTCATGATTTGATTAATTAAAAAAAAACGGAACTGAATTTACAAATGACTAACAAGATAATTAATTCACAACTAATTCAAGCCAGTTTCTCTTCAAATATAATTCCATTATACACTGTACCCGATGAGATTGACCATAAAGTTACTATTTCTTTTTAACGATGAATAATTTTGCTTTTGATTTCTTACAGAAATGGAGAAGTTTTAGAGATTGCACCCTCTTCGGGGGAATTCTTGTTTTATCCGTCTACAGTAAAAGTGACTGTTGAGTCAGGTAAGAATTGAGCTTTAACTTTAAGGGATAGTTGAGTTCTGTTGCTACACAAAATAATTTTTTGTGAGATAATGAGAAACTGAGTGTCAAATTTGAAAGAACATACAATTTAAATGACAGAATCATCTTTGTTTGATCAAGATTGGTTCAGAAACGGCTGTAATATCCATAAATGAAATGATTTCTAATATTTGTGTATCACCACAAATATTTGAGAATTTGAACCAGCTGTTGAAAAAATGAAATAGCCCATGTATTGTTATTATTAATTAATTAATTAAAGGTCACCATATTTTGTTTAAAGTGGAGCTGAATTGGTATGATCCTATTGGCTAAATTTCACACATTTTGGGGTGTAAAATTACCTTCATAGCAATTTTAGGTCCTAACTTGAAAAGGGCACTAGAAATGTCATAGATATTAAAGAATAAGCTCAATAACCATGCACTTTGAGGCATTTGCGGTGTGAAAACAGAACTCAACTATCCCTGTCGGAAGTACAAAAATGAAATAGATGCATTATATATCTACGGAGAGCTTATAAGCCATAGATTACAATATTATCAATTACATGCTATTTTATTGTCTGCCAGAGGAGTTACAGCTCTCTGCAATCTCGAAATCAGAAGCTTTGAAAATCTGAAGTTGTTAACCTAAAAACTAGCTATCGACTTGATGACATCATCTTATGTGGATTACGCATATTCACATTGACTTTGAATGAATTAAACTAAGCTATACAGGCAAGCTGATCGCGTCCACATGTTATGTCTTCACTGTAACTGCAGCGAATTTGAACCCTGTTGACCTAAAATTTGGAGAGGTGCAGAAAATGAGGTTTTTACTTGCTTTTGTGCAATAGTGAATAGTGTATTCCTTTATATTTGTATTGTATGCTCATTCAGCTTTCCATTGATATAAAGTTGTATTTTATTTTAAATAGACAGGATTTTTAAATGCAAAACATAAGAATGGAAGTTGAACTGCATGATTTGTTTTAGTATAGATATCTAGAAGTATATTTGCACAAAATAGTAGTTCTCTTATTCTGCAGTTCTACCAATAGTAACAAAAATAACAGTTTATGAAATATATACCAATGTACATGAACATATAATTCACAAACCAAATAATAACTGATGAACATGGCTATAAACTGTTCATCTTTAAGCTTTGTGTAAAATTTTGTAGCACTTGCTACTACATGCACTAGGCATTGGAAATGATTAAATATAAGCTTCATTATATGTGAGAGTGGCATATGATGTGAAAGGATGCTATGATAATGCATAGAGTAGCAATATAGGATGTCACATTGTCACAGTATTGAGCTATTCTGGTATGACGTGCATATAAGTATTGCACCTATTTAGATCATTCAACAATGTAATCTCTTGATATGATGATTAGTTACACCATGATTAGTCAGTATTCACATTTTTGTTGTTGTTTTTAAAATAAAGAGATGAAATGGGGCCCAGTTTGTTAAAATAGACATAGAGTTGTAGAAGTATACAATTTCATTCAACTTGCATCACAATAATCAATAAATTGGCAGCAGTGAGATTAGGTAGACAGTACTTGTTACCAAGTAAACTAAATTTCAGGTTTTATGTCTCTAAAAGCATTAGATTTTTCTGTCCCATTTTGCTGTATTTCATATTTCACACATATAATATGTGAGAAGAAAAAATTGAGTCATCAGCAAACAGAAGGAAAAGTCTTTCATCTAATGTACAGTATGAAAGAATATGGGCCCAGGAATGACCCCTGTGGTACACCACCTGATGCTGTTTTCATGGTGAATAGTAAGCCTGTAATCTATTTGGTTCAAACAGGTGCAGGGTACATGCAGTCTGTATTCACATGGTGAAATTCTATGTTTCGGGGATATGGGGTACTTTGATGAAGTAGAGCTTTTTGTCCAGATGGGCAAATGCTAGCAGCTTTGGAGTAATAGATACCATGTAGCACCAGACCTGTCTGGCTTGGGACAAATAAAGCTCGCTGAGGAAATGCTGGTGTTTGATATGTAACCCTTTAAGCGTACAGACAGAAAGTGTCAGAGTGCCAAGGTTTGGAGAAAAATACCCGATGATCACTCTATCCAGGGCATCCACTGTGGCGCATAAGACTTCGTTGTCGTCTCTTGCTGTAACGGTGCTCCCCATGTTGCCCTCCTTGTCATAGAATGCCAACCTACGGGGCTTTGCATTAGACACCCTCATGACCAGTACTTCAGTTTGCGTTACGCAGATCTGTGCAACGTTTGCTCTTCCAGTAGTGATCACTCGGGAATGATGTGTCATGCCCTTGCCGCGAACTCTAAAGTACTGGATTTTGTTGGTGCCATTGACGGTGTAGACATTGTCTTGGCTGTCTCTGTACAGAGTACAGAAAGAATCCTTGCACTTCTGCTTTGCCAGCTGCTGAAATGGGATTACCCACATTGTACCATCTGCATTATAAGCCTTTATTTCCTCAAAACCGTGCGATAGAACGGCTCTTCCATCATTCAGGATGACGATGTCTCGCACAGAGCCGATGTCACTCCTCAAGTAAGGCTTTCTGTCTCCTGAGACCTTGATGGCTTCAACTCCAGGGAAACTACTTCCATACCCTACGACCACGGTGTCTTCTGCCATGCCTGTCATACCCCTGATCCCGCCGGGAAGGGCTACCTCCTTGATGATTGTAGGTGGCCGCACAGGTACCTTGACCGGCAGCTTATGCTTTACTACTTTGGGCAGTGCTGGGCCTGCTGTCTCAGGCTGCGCAGGGCTTGCTGCCTCAGGCTGCGCCACTCCTTTCCCCGGAGCCTTCTTGGCCTGGATATCATTCACGAGAGCGTTCACAGTAACATTCCGCCGAAGCCCCTGCACACGATTTTCCCCAAGCGGAGTCTGCTCTCGGCACAGCGGGCAGATCATGTAATTCTTGTCTCGATGACGCATGTCATATCCCATGAGGCACTTCTGACAGAAGGTGTGTCCACAGATCAAGAGGGTTGCTTTCTCAAAGGTGGTAAGACAGAGAGGGCACACCAGATTGGCATGTATCGGATCATTAGCAGTTCGTTCAGCCATAGCTTTACCTCGGATAAATTTCTGGAAGAATGGAAGAAAATTCAAAGTCAAAGTTGAGAATCATTGTGATGTCATTTAGAAGAAAAATTTTCAGTCAAGGTTGAAAACAATTGTGATGTCCTCACTAAAAATATTGTATCAAACCATATTATGTTCATGAAAATGTATGATGAAAAAAGAAAAAAAAAAGATGCAGAAACCAATCAAATCAAATCAAATCAAAATCAAATCAAATAAGTTGGAGTAAAAAGAAGTTAAGGTTGCAAATTAATATAATGTCATACAATATGACGTTGTCCCTGGAAAACGGAGAAAGGCTTTTGTCAAGGTTGAGAATCACTGTGATATTCTCAATTGGTTTGAAGGAGAATTTGTATTGAAGGTAATGTAACTAAGAAATTTTATATTTGACACTTGAATCTTTAATTTCTGTTCTGAGAATCTTAAGAAGTGTGTACCTTTAGCCTATTCTACGATACAAATTAATAATCTAAAACATTATGTATTACAACCATGACTTTAGAACTTTAGATGTACAAATGATATTGATTTTAGATACATAAATGTATGTACATGTTTTTGACAGTCACCTGTATTTGAATACCATAGTACACTGTCCAATGCTTGACTTGACTACATCTCTGTAGTATATGTATATGATGATGCATGCAATATCTGTTTTTTGTTGTTGTTTGGTTCTTGACCATGGTCCAATGAATCTCATATCAAATTTTTTGATTGCGTTATAACAGAGCTGCCAACCATGACGTTTTTCCCGGAATTTGTCCGTTTTTTCCTCCAAATCTTTTGTTAACGTACTGCACGTCAAACAACTGCCCTAAAATGTTGATATGATCACAAATTCAATACAAAACTAAGGTGAGAACATACTTGAAGTGATAAATATTCTCAAAAAAATGAAACACTGATAAGACCAAAATAACAACAGAAAAATACCTACTTGTAAATAAACTATCCTGTAGGTCCTAATATGGAAAAAAAAGCATGAGGAATGGACATTTCTGCATTGGAAGTGTGTCGCGCATGGTTGTTGTTTTTTGCTTGAAATTCCATTTTTTTGTTGCTATCATGGTTCCTTTTTTTGGTCGCACAAGGTTGGCAGCTCTGTTATAAATCTCATATCATTGCACCAAATAAAATTGAAAACAATGAAATAGTTATCATATTTCATTCATGATGAATTTAAAACATCACAATGATTATCGTTATGCACTACAAAATAAACCAATGTCAATAGCTTCTAGTAATTTCACACAATACAATGGCCATTATGAATATGATCAGTACTCAACTTAAACTAATTACAGAAAAGTTTCACATGGTATGGAGCCCTTCATTTTACAAATATTCAATGAAAGGAACTTCAAACTCACACTATACCACTACAGGTTAAATGTCTTATAGTGTTCATATATCAAACTCTTTATTAATAATAATAATAATAATAATAAATTGTTTCTTTTATAGCGCTATATCCAATTTACAACTGATCAAAGTGCTTTACAAAACAAATACATCAATGAATTGAAACTCAACAAAAATATGATAGAAAATGTAATGCAGTTAATTACAATGTAAATAGGTGTGTTTTGAAATGTTTCTTAAATATTTCAAGTGACATACTACAGCGTAATTCACTAGGTAACCTATTCCATGTAACCAGACCACTGGAGTGAAAACTTCGCTCACCTATCTTCGACTTTATTCTAGGCACATGGAGAGCCGTTGTGTCTGTAGTTGAGCAAAGATTATATGTGGAGTGACGAGAAGATTGTAAAATTTACTATACCTTGCTTCTTGCAGCTCAGCATATACACCACTATCATTAAAGTTTGATGTTAAAAGGCAAGAGAGCGATTTGTCTAAGATGGTACAAAGCGTTCGCCACCATTCTTTGTCTGCCCAGCAATCACTACATACAGAAATGCCCTGACAGAAATTATTACAAAATGCGACGGATTTCGCAGATGTCATTGTGTGGTTGGCACTTATTGTGGCTTTTGATGGCTATTGATACAGTTCTGGTTGGGTGCTTTCATTATTAATAAATGGCGGGGAGAGAGAGAGAGGGAGAGAGAGAGAGAGGGAGAGAGAGAGGGAGAGAGAGAGAGAGAGGGAGGGAGAGAGAGAGAGAGAGAGAGAGGGGTGTCTGTGTATGAAATATGGATCAATACAAGGCTCTGCTGTCCCAATATGAACTATACCCAGCCAAGGACATTTAGTCTTACAAAACAGACCCTAGAATGCAATTGTTTGTTTAGACCAGTCATCTCTATTAAAAATAAGAAGGGGGTGGCAGTGGATGGCAAGCTGCAACATTTTGTGGATTCCTCTTGTTTATGTTAAGAAAAGGATTGCGCCATCTGATTTTTGTTTTAATTGATTCATTTATAAGTTTTTATAATAGGACAAAAGAAAGAACAAAGTCTATTTATGGAAATGTAGATTTCTGATGATGAAAAACATGCCGTTTTTTGTGCATACATACTGTACATGCGTTTATGTATAGGGGTAAAGGTAATTAAATCTGATGCATTTTATGCCTTCCAACGATTGGACTTGTGTCTTTACATACATTATTATATGGAAATGAAACAGACCCTTTTCATTCATTTCTTTATGATTAAAAACTTCTGCATCATCGCTGAGAAACAAAATTTTGTAATAATAACAAACTTGTTACTTCTTAATTTTTTGTCCCTATTCACCTTGACAGGCTTGTATCTATCCCTTTCCCATTTTACTGTAGATATATTTCAGATATCATGCACTTGGACTTGAATTGAAAGTCTTTTGATGGGAGTTTTACAGCTCTATAAAAATTTAAAAAGGTTTAGCATAATGCTTCACCATTGTCATTGATTTTTTTTAATGGTTGTGTTTTGATTTCAAACCATATAGGATTCTGCTGAAATATCATAAGAGGAAAAAGGCTGACTTTGATAAATGATGATGATGATGAGTGTATATAAAGCTAATTCGGAGAAAGCACTTGTACAAACGACCCCCAAATATCCACAGATCTTTTACACATGGAGAACTCCAACTATGAGCATAATCACTACAAAGTGGAGCAGGTGCTTCATGAATACCTTTTGTTTGCACTCTTGAAAAATATACTTCAACATGTTTCTCATAGAATAAATGAATAATGATTACATAATTTTCACGTATCCAGCTGTCGTCTCAATGGGTTTTACAGTTTTGTACAAAGGCCAACATCCAAAAATTGTTTGGTTGTCCTCGATTGCTATTCTGGAGTAGGGGCGGGTGGGCGGATTTTTTTTTTTTTATTTATTTTTTAATAATTTTTTTTCCATAAATAAAAAACAAACATTGGGATTGTCAAGCATTTGAACAAACAAAGTCTATAAAACACTTTAATATGGTAAAAGACCAGTATAATGTACAATGAATATCAAGACCAACACAGAAAGTATTTTGGGCTTTAAAATAAAGCACCTTTTAAATCTCCATTGTACTACTTATAGCCACTTGGGCCCGCTATGTAGCAAACAATGTCTAATCGGTGACCACTAGTCCCCCATTATCCTTTTTATCTTATATTAACTGAAAGCTGATTTGATGAGATAACCACCTGTCCAGTGACCTTGCAGTGTGGTCTAATGCCTCCTGTAAACTAGTACAGATGGGCATTAAAATGAGTTTAAGAATGCTCAGAACCTGATCTGTCCAGATGATACCTCTGAAGTGACTTATTTACCGCAGTTTACCACACTGTATGTGAACAAGGAATAAAGGTGTACATGTATCATATGAAAAGTGTACATATTCCGAAAATATTCTGTATTTTATATTGATTTGATACATGTATTGCCCATGTTCTGTTCCATGGGTGGCCTTTATAGACAGGTTTGACTATACATTTACAGTCATTGTAATTATCTCCATTGTTCTAATCCTATTTAAGTTTTATACAGGACTAGTGTCCATATATTCTTCATTGAAATTAACACTACTATTTTAATTATCTTTATTTTTACTTGGCAAGCACCCAGATTTCTTCATTGAATCCTTTTTCCCCTTTATTTTAATTCTTTCTTTTCCACAGGGGAGAAGTGCCCAGGAGTGGTTGCAGAGTTTGAGGGACGTCCAGGCGTGTTCATCACCGGTCAAGTGACCCCTCCTCTCTCAGGGGTCAAGGTCACCATCACACCCACAAACCCAGCCGAGGGGTCAACAGATGGAGCTATTACACAGATGACGGACAACAAGGGACAGTACAGGTATGTATTGAACCAATAAAGACTTGTGTAGATATGGCGCGGAAACCGCCTCAAAAAAGCTGCTGTGGTTCTCTTATGTGTAAAATGAATGGCAATTGTGCGCAACATAAGGACAGATACAGGTACAGAAATATAAAGCATGATACACTATACATGTATGTCATCACCAAAGAACGCTGTTGTTTTGCCACGTCATATCTGAAAGAGCCTTTTATTATTATTAAGTATTTGGCGTCACCTGTGCCTGGGAGGCGAAAAACGAAATGAATCAATGCAACCCTCAGGTCTCAGCCTTAACATGTTTATTTTAAAAGTTCTGTGCACAGTACCAACCACTAACACCCAATTTAGTGTATTTACATGTAAGTTGGAAAGAACACAACGTGTGAAATCCCCAAAACTGCCAATATAAGTCATAGAAACGTGTGCCAAAACAAGCAACTGATCCATGTATTTCACATTATAAGTCATGCGTGAAATGCACTCTGCATACAGTGAATGAGCACACAACTACAAAAGTACATTACATTGTCAAGGCTACATGAGCGTGAGAACCCACATACATGTATGCAAGTGTATATAAATGTTGTGATGCATTTTGAGTGATAAGATTGCTAAAAGACATTAGTGCTGATTTACTTGGAATCGAACCCATTAACTCCAGGCAATGCATCAACTTCTACATTAGGCAAATTGCCCCTTCTTAGGTAATTTACACAAATGTAAAAAATCTTCTGATTCTTTCAAAACTCATCTCAAAACATTCCTTTTCAAGTCTTGATCGTTTTTCCTGTTTACACGCGCCTTGAGCACTCCACAGAGTGGATTTGGCGCGATATAAGTTACATTATTATTAATTGTGTGCTTATGTATTTAAGGGAGATGGTCCTCAGTTTCCATGTGCAGAAGGTCATGATTCTCTGACATCAGACTTGGAAATAGCATTAATTGGTTTACAAGTCTACAACAGCAAACTCAGACTCGTATCGAGAAATACCCCATAGACTCTGTCTCTGCCTCTCTCTGTCTCTGTCTCTCTCTCTCTCTCTCTGTCTCTGTCTGTCTCTCTTTCTCTCTCTCTCTCTCTGTCTGTCTCTGTCTGTCTGTCTCTGTCTGTCTCTCTTTCTCTCTCTGTCTCTGTCTCTGTCTGTCTCTCTTTCTCTCTCTGTCTATGTCTGACTCTCTTTCTCTCTCTCTCTCTGTCTCTGTCTCTGTCTGTCTCTCTTTCTCTCTCTCTCTCTCTCTTGCGAAGAATCTTCGGGTGATGCAAATGTCAGATAATGCCTTTACCATGTAGGGAAAGGCAGAGCATTACATGAAGCCTGTTAATCATAAAACTGAAGGCTAATCCTGGTGATTTACAACACCTTTTATTCGATAAACGCCTTAACAAACGTCAAATTCCCCATGAGAGCCCACTTCTATGTGTCTTTGACCTCTGAGCCTGCTTCTCGGGTCAAACAGCGCAATGCAGTTGCGTAGAGACAAGGCCTTTATTTCAAATCACGACAAGTTGAGAAACGCGACATCCTGCAAATCACGTTTATATAGTGGGATTCAATATATAGTTTAGTGTAGTTTAGTTTATTTTTTTATTAAAAAATCACACCCGTCATCAGACGGCCGGCCTAAAAAGGCCTATGAGTGATACATCAAAAATAACAGTCATAAACAATTTGACATGATAACATAGTACAAATATAACGATCATAAACACAGAAAAAAGAATATTTATGTATTACAGTGTATTTTAAAGTTAGTTGGTATGAACTAAAAACATACAAACAACAACAACAAAAGACAGGGGGGAAAAACAATTATTCATTTAAGTACCAGTAGTACAAAAATTCTTGGCGAGTTGTTAGGATTTGGTTTGCAAAAATGGCTATTAAACTGCTTAGTGAGTCGGCTGAAATTAGGTAAATAAATTGTTGGTATGTGGAAAGATACGAAAACGTATGGTCATGTTCTATTATATCATTAAGAAGTTGTGATCTGATGTCATTATATGCAGAACAAAACATGTATAGAAATGCTGTTTCTTAGTGGCAAAACATGATAAATGCACCCTTTAACAGACACTGTATTTTTGCCATTTCAGGGTTGGTCCGTTACCTGATACGAGTGAGTATGAGGTGGAGGCCTCTCTTGATGGGTATATCATGAGTCAGGAGGAGGGCAAGCTGGGATACTTCAGGGCTTTCAAGCTTGGCAAGATTAGGATTGAGGTAAGTATAGAGACATTCAGACTTTGGGATGAAAATATGACATGTGACAAAACATTGGACAGGTGGGATCTGGAGTCCATGATGTCCATATTATTTTTTAAGTCATCGTTTGGCGTCATCTGTGCCCGGGTGGCGAAAACGAACTGAGTGACTGTAATGCTCAGGGTTCACCTCCTAAGGGAAGGAGTGTTTCCTACTTAAATTAGCCTGCATCTGTGAAACTTGAGGGGCACAATGCAGGCGTTTTACCGACTGAGCCAACTAGTCTCTGTCAAAGGACAGTTGTATTCTTTACAGTTACATTGTTCTAAATGATGGATTTCATTTTTTCTTCTGTGTAGATGTGCTAATTTCATGAGATGAGCAATTTTAGAAAACAAAGAACAATTCAAAGAGATAATGTGAGGTAGACAATAACAGTATTAAAAAAGTGAACATAGATCTTAGATAAAAGCAGAATGATAGATGACTCTACTCCCATCAACTGCAAAACAGCACTGATATAAAAATTGAAATGTTGTAGGTAACGGACGGGGAGAACAGCCCCCTCTCTGGTGTGCTTCTATCGCTGAGCGGAGGAAACTTCCGCAGCAACAACCTGACCAAGGACGATGGCATCTTGACCTTTGGCGACCTTGGTCCTGACACCTATTTCCTGCGTGCCTTGATGAAGGAGTTTGAGTTTGACCCCAGCACACAGATGATCGAGGTCAGCGAGGGGTCAGCTGTAGATATCAAGGTCAAGGGTCGCCGAGTAGCCTTTAGGTGAGAAAGCTTTTTAGACTGTCATCTGACACGTTTTAACTTTAGACTACTTAATTCTCTCATTTCCATGGCCCTAGTATAGGGGATTATGGGGCTACAAATGGCACGTTTTTCCAGACAACCTGTCTTAAAAACTAGTTCTAAGTATTGAGTGTTACATTGTTTTCTGCATTTAATCTCTTTTTTTTTTTAATTGTTTGACTGTCATTCCCCCACCTGCATGTACGTTTAGACATCACCACCATTCATCTGACAAATCTACTGTGATTTGTAAGCTAAAGCTGTATGATTTATTGAAGGAATAGTTGAGTTCTATTGCAGAGGGCGCTACACAAAATATATTTTTTGTGAGATAATGAAAAACTGAGTGTCAAATTTGAAAGAACATACAATTCTTTTTTTTAAAGTGGAGCTGAATTGGTATGATCATATTGGCTAAATTTCACACATTTTGGGGTCTAAAATTACCTTCATAGCAATTTTAGGTTCTCTAAGGGCACTAGAAATGTCATAATTAAGAATAAGAGCAATAACCATGCACTTTGAAGGCATTTGCGGTCTGAAAACAGAACTCAACTATCCCTTTAATGTCAATCTGGTTGAGTAATGAGTACATTTGCTCTAATGGACTCTCCCAAGTCAGACATAACCCCTTCAAGGAAATAACCCAATTTTCGTTACTTGCAGCTCTTTTGAATCAGATAGTATAATTATGAAGAATAACCTCTGACCTCTTTTTCTGATTACCTCTAGCTGTTTTGGTTCAGTGACATCACTGAATGGAGAACCTGAGCCAGGTATCGCTGTAGAAGCTCACTCAGAAGAGAGCTGTGGTCAGGTCGTAGAAGAGGGTGTGTCCGATGAAGAAGGCAACTTTAGGATCAGAGGACTGCAGGTAGGTCAATCTATCTAATATTACTGTGTCATATGATCGATGATTGATGATGATGATGATCGATGATTGTTTTACCCAACTGTTAAGAAAGAATGTATAATAATACTTGTAAATAACCAACCAGGGGACCTGATAATTAGGATTATAAGATGATGACGTTAATCCTAATCAAATGATTGGTTGAAGGCGTACACGTGACCAGGCATTTATTTTGTCTAACGCGTAATTTGGATAATGACCGGTCATTATCAAAATCATGTTATAAAACAAATAAAACATAATCTCATAAAAATAGATAATACACATCATTTTGCTGGGCATTAGTAAAATTACCCACACTTGGTACCTCCAAAACAGTCGAAGCACCTCGTGTGGGTAATTCTTACTAATGCCCCTGTGTATTATTTGTATATCATTGGTCACCTGTCAACTCAATGCAATCAGTAAATGATTGATGATGATGATCAATGATTGTTTTACCCGAATGCTAAGAAAGCATGTACAATTATGCTTGTAAATAAACAACCAGGTGACCTAGTAATGAGGATTAATGCCTCACCAAATGGCTCAAGCGCATTGACTTGGTTTCAAAATCCGGACCTCCTGGTTACGAGACAACTGCTCCACCACTGAGCCATAGGCCTCCTCAATGGCCACGATTATCACTGTTTTTCGTTTGTGAATGGTCATGGTCTATAAAGCTAGACACTCCAAGGTTTCCATGGATATGTAAATGGCGCCCTCTACCTTACCTAGTTTCTTTCACAGGTGGTCCATATTGACATTTTAAAAGTCTGTATACCCCCCCCCCCCCCTCCCCAGTTAAAAATTTGATCTTGGGGGGGGGGGGGGGTCCTGAATCAAAGATTTAAGGCTCATAAGCAGTGTTGGGTAATGTATGAAATGCTTCAAATTACCTTTGTAGAACCCGATGAAAAGTGCTATACAATTTGTATATTCATGTGACGATTCAGAACATCAGTCAGAAGGAATTTCCACTATGTCATTAAAGATGTCTAATTTTGGTGCAATTTCTTTGATAATCTTGTTATAGCCACATTGTAAAGGGAATGGTCTTTGTCATAATGACATGGTTTGTGCTATTGCTTTCGCTATCATGGAATGTGTCTTTCGTTGTTGTTATTGCAGCCTAATTGTGATTATAAGATCAAGCTGAAGGATTGTGAGAGTAACGGTCACATAGAGAGAGCATCACCGCCAACACAGACTGTCGCAGTAAGTAGCCATTCATTTTGACCCTATTTTGACAACATACAATATTTGATATAAGCTAGTGATATCAAGGCATTTGATTGGATGAGAGCAAGTCTATTACAGAATATGAATATTTACCATAAGCAACATTTATTTATGAAATGGCACTTACAGTTATCAACCAAATGATTCATACCCTTACCAAGTTTTATAATTTTTAAAGTATGGGAAAAAATGATTTGTCCCGATTTAGTTTGTTGACAATGTGACATATTAATGCTTACATCTAAAAGTATTCAACAAAGGCCCTAATTCAACCAGTCCACCATTTATTCTTTGGTTATGAAACACATGAGAAATTTACAAGGGGTATGGATAATTTAGCTGTTAACTGTATCTGATAGACACTCAATCTTTTTCTTCTTTTTTTGTGTGTGTATTTGTTTGTAGATTGGGCAGAAAGTTATCAAGGATTTAAGAATCATTGTGTTCCGACATCTCAACCAGTTTGATATAGGAGGCAACATTGTCACACCACATGAATACCTGACTTCATTGAAGGTAAGAGCGGATGGGTTAGACAGAGAAAGAAAAAGAGAAAGAAAAATAAGAGACGTTTGTTGGAAGAGAAGTGTGTTTGATGATGTTGTTTTACCTGAATGCTAAGAAAGCATGTATATGCTTGCTAGTAAGCAACCAGGGGGACAGATGGCTGTATATCCTCTCTGAGAAGGGACCTGGTAATGAGGCTAGGGCTAGGGCTAGGGCTAGGGTATTAACTTGGTTTTGAACCTGGGACCTCCTGGCTATGAGACCACTGCTCTACCACTAAGCCATTGCGCCTCCATAGGGATGACAGGAGAGAGAGAGAGAGAGAGAGAGAGGTATGCATACATCTTGATGTGCAGTGAGAGAAACAAAGAGAGATTGAGAGAGAGAGAGAGAGAGAGAGAGAGAGCACAAGATGGGGACAGAAAGCCTGCCAAGAGAAATAGACTGTGAGATAGGTCAGTGAGTGAGAGAAAGAGAGGGAAAGATAGGGAGAGAACATGGTTGAGAGAAATATATGTAGGAGGTGATGAAGAGAGAGAGAGAGAAAGAAAAAAACTCAAACAGACAGAGTCACCGGTTTGTAAATAGAATGAAAAGAATGCAAGAGTGAAAGAAAAGTCTGTTATTATATGAATATCATATCTGGGCTTGAACCCATACTAATCCTGTGATGTTTTGTCTAACAGGTATCTCTATACAGTGAGGAGGACCCAGAAACTCCTATTCATACCCTTCCATTGGACATGGGGAGCTTCTTTCAATTCTCATCAGTACCTAACGATGGAAGGGTAAGACAAATCAGTCATCTTTTACTTCTTCCGCAATTATGAGTTTTGTTCTTTTGTTGCCTTTTCAAGTTGGCTTCTGTTCAGTCATGTCTAGGTGTTTGAAATAGAGACAATCCAAATGATAATTTCATTCAAATATGGACCAAAGACCGAACTTTATCCACTTCCTTTTCTCTTCCCAATTAAAAAGAATTTTCAATGTTGATTTCCAAAGTTTTGGTTGGTACCAGCAACCAGCTCCTTAAACAATATGTTGTGGTTTTTAGAGATTGAACCTTTTTGTAGAATATGTAATTCACAATGTCAAAAGTTAGAGCCAAGTAATTTTTTTCATATTTTGTTTGTCTCCAATGAGATTAATGTTCTGAATTATTATATCCACCTGCAGTGTAAAAACGATAATCAACTATATCTTTTTAGGCATCTTATGCATTTATTGAATTACGAATACCCCTTTGTTTTTTTTGTTTTTTTCAGAGATACATGATCAAGCTGGAGTCGACCTTACCTAGATCAAAATATGATTATACATTGCCTGAAGCAAGCTTTACAAGCACAGGCTACCAGAAACATGTCACTCTACCATTCAACCCTCAGGTAAGGTGGTGGTGGTGGTGATGAAGGTGGTGGTGCCAGTGGTGGTGGTGGTGATGATGGTAGTGGTGGTAGTGGTAGTGATGATGGTAGTGCTGGTAGTGGTGGTGATGATGGTAGTGGTGGTAGTGGTGGTGATGATGGTAGTGGTGGTAGTGGTGGTAGTGGTGGTAGTGGTGGTGATGATGGTAGTGGTGGTGATGATGGTAGTGGTGGTAGTGGTGGTGATGATGGTAGTGGTGGTGATGATGGTAGTGGTGGTAGTGGTGGTGATGATGGTAGTGGTGGTAGTGGTGGTGATGGTGGTAGTAGTTATGGTGGAGGCGTGGTGTCAATAGTGGAGGTAGTAGTGACGATGTTGGCGATGACGATGGTTATGATGATCATGGTGGGGGTGCAGATGGTGGTGCTGATGATGGGGTTAGTGGTGGTGCTGATGGTGATTGTTGTGATGATGGTCGTGGTGGTGATGGTGATTCATATTTTCAAATGTTGGCAAGTATGTTATTGTCTCTTACCTTATCTCTCTCTCTCTGTCCATAGAAACGTGCTCTTGAGCAAGAAGTAATGCAGGGCTCTTATTTTGCTCTGCCTCTCGTAGTAGCACTGATAGCTGTTGGTGTAAATCATGCCAAGGTAAGTTTGAACTTGACGTTCCTTCATTTTTTTCAGGTGAGTGAGAGAAATGATTACTAGAAAGAAGGAATTTTTGAAGGGAAATGAAAATAAAACAAGAGGAAGAAGAATAGGATACTACAAAGAAAGAAGAATGGAGTGGTACAAAGGAGAACAAGAAGAAGGAGGGACTAGAATGGGTAGGAGGAGGAAAATGAGGATGGGGAGGAGGAGGAGGAGGAGATGAGAAGAGAAGAAAAATAAAGAGGATGGAGGAGGGGCGGAGAATAAGAAGAGGGAGAAGGAAAAGGAGAAGAAGAGGAAGAAAGTGAGATTAAGCAAGAATGACGTATTAGGAGTAAAGGAGCGTAAGTAAGAAAAAGAAGTAAAACAAAGAATAATCTATTTTTTTAATTTGTTGAAGAAGAAAAGTTATTTAAAAAAAAAAAAATTAATTATTAAAAAGAAATATATTTAAAGAAAGAAAGCAGTACATTGATACTACATAATGCCCTAAAGTTTCTCTGAATTAACTCTCTATTCACCTTCAGATCATGCCGTTCATACTGCAGTTTCGTCAGAATATGCGTGGCTTACAAAGCAGTGGTCCCACCAGCAGGTCCGAGACTGTCAACTTTGATGCTGACTTGTCACGGCAACGCAAGAAGGTCAAACCCAGGAAGACATGACGACACTCTCCCATCTCGTAGTCTTACGTTGGTAGATAGTGCTAGCCCTCTACAGCCCACCTCACACACTAAATGACCCGGCTAGATTGAAATTTGAGGAAAGGTGTCAATTTGAATTACTCGTACTTGTGAAAGTTTGATACAGACCAGTTCATAGTTAGCAAATGGTCCCAGATGTCCACACATAGTTTGAATATTGAGAGGTCCCAATCTGTGCATTTAAGAATAATCACTTCTGAAATGGTGGAAGATTTTATATCAGAACTTTCACTTTTCCTAAATTTTGATGTTGTCGGGTCATACAGAGTTTGGTGGCTGTAGAGTAGTACATAGGTTGCATTATCAGGTGTACAGGATAGTTCAATATGAGAATTGTCCCAAATATTTGATTTTTAATTATCCAAATCACCAAATGTCCATTATATAAGTTATAACATTTCTAGATTTATTTCATGAATAGGGAGGTACCCCTAATTTTTAAAAAATAAAATAAGAGTGTATATTAAGTGAATGAAATTAGAATTACCTCTATGACACCGTTAGAGAGCAAATATTGCTTGTATTAGGACTGTATTTTGAAAAATGTTATCTTTTATGTTAGGAAAAAAACAACTGTTAATTGTTACGATAAACTGAAATTCAACGGAACTGAAAGTTTCATTGGTGCTTGCGAAGATGTCTCTTTTAACCGTACCCGAACACAGCCAGCTTTGCGCAGAAATCAACCAATACTTATGATTTGTTATGACAATTAATTTAGTTTTAGTTTTACTAACATAAAAGATAACATTGTTTTCAGGATATTATGAAACTTGCTTTCATGTACAGATTTTACACGTCATTGCATGTCTGTAGTTTCTTCTAGAATAGATCAATATGAAAATTCAAGTTCAATCATTTTGAGTACCTGGGTAGATTGCCTGGTACTGTGACATTACCTCCAGCGATAATGGCTTCAGGCTTGATTTCATCAAAGATATATGTTTACTGTTAGAGATCGGGTTGCTAGTGGGTTTTATGTTAGGTTTAGGGGTAGGGGTAGGAGTAGGGTATAGTATTTGGTCTAGGGTTAAAGTAAAGAATTTGGTTAGTGAAGGATATTGATCTCGGAGCTATTTAACCTACCGCCTATACAATGTTAGACAATAGAGGGCGACTGTCGTCCCACACTGCGCAGGTCAGCACATACGCAGATACAATTCTGGGGAAGACAATGAGGCAAGGTTTCTTCAGGCCACCATAGAGAATGTACAAATTTGTTGACAAATTCATGATTTTTCTAAAATATTGTTAAGGTTTCATGAACTTCCCCGATGATTTCATAAGAGGTATGTAGGAACCAACATAACCTGTTGCTTACATGTATATTTGACTGAAACTATCATTGTTATCAGACTTTCCAGTTCTGGACCCATTGTATTTGTATGGGACCCGGAAGTACCTCTGCCACATGGACCCATGGTCAGTGCTGCCCTCTATGGCCGAATACTGTAGAGGCAATAGATAGAATTATCCCTGAAGCCCACGTCATACAACCTTTCTCTTCGTCTTACCCTTACTATTTTTTAAAAGGTCATTGTCAAATCATTTTGAATTCATGTTTCTTATTTTTTCTGCAACCCACACTCATTTCAAGTTTGTTATGCAATCGTAGTAAAGTAGTATTTAGACTAGAGAGAGGGAGAATATTATCTGTCTTCTTGTTGTGTACTCTGTATGTATAAACTTTATGTGTGGAATTATTGTTTCGATTGGAGTCTAAATTTATTACTGTGAAAAAACAATTAATTTTATTGCAATACAAGCACTGTGTATGTTTGTTGTATACATGCAAGTAGCAGTGTCTTTTGTTTTGTTAGTCATATACATGACCTGTAATAGTTTATACATTTTTTGTGAAGCTCACAGAAGAATTGTTTTTTCTTGGTTGAAATTTGAATAATACATGTAAAAAATGATCATGCACCATTAGGTCTAATAATTCTTAAGCTGAGCAATCGTTTGTATGAAACAATGAAATTTCTTCTGTGATATTTGTACGTTTTAATATACTGTTAAAGCAGTAATTTTCGTCGAGTAAGACAAGATGTGCGTCATATACATGCATGTACCGTAACACAGGGTGAAGAGGGACGAGGTAATAGGGGCAAAGTTGGAATGATTTCATCATAATTACCCTAAGTGTCATACTTGGGGTACTAATCGTTTATTTTGAATTGACAAAATAATATTTTGACTTTAATCATTCCTGTACCGCTATTCACCCTATTTTATGATGGTAAAATAACTGCTTTTACAGCGTTAAATCCTATTGATTCCTGTGTTGATTTATATGTTATTGGAATATAATTCTGTGGGTTGATTTTTTCAAGTGATAATGTTGATGTGATGTTGTTAATATTATTGGTCATATTAAGAATGAGAAATAAATCTTTTGGATCTTGTCTTAATTCTGGTTAATGTCCGATGTTCTTTGTAGTGCAGTTGTATTCTGTTTCCCATGACTTAAAATATAATTTCTGTCACAAACTATATACATGTACTTCACATTTACCGGTACCTGTTTTCTATTGTTTTCTAAATCTCTCTCTTTCATTACTTCCTTCCTTCTATCTCTCTTTCTCCAGTTTTGCTATCCATCCTCTCAAAGTATCGGCCTCTTTTTCTGAAACTTCCCTTTTTCTCTCTCTCCCTCTCTTTCAATCCCTATTTTTCTCTTAATGTCCATTTTCTTTCAATTTATCTTATCCTTCCTCTTTCTTTCCATATTTTTTGGGGGGTAAAATCTCCCTTTCTTCTCAATCTGATTGGTGATAAACTAATAAAACTAATAATCAAGGGTATAAAATCCAATGAACATTCACACGTATCAAATGCAATTTAAACAAAAAAGTCTCTCTAGTCTCTACACAATGTATTTTCTTATACGATATACACAATTCTGTGTAAATGTGAAAACGATACAGTTGTATTAATACTACGTACACACCATAAGCCCTCCCAGAAAAGCCCACATATATGTCCAACAATATAGGGAATCCACCCCGATATGAGGTTGGTTTCCATAAAAGCAGAACAAATTGGAGAAACAAGTCATATCACTGAAAGTTTGAAGAAAATCTAATAAGATATTCAACTTTTAATCCATCAAATGCAAATTGACAACTCTTTGATGCAATATTTGAGAGCTTGTGTCTCGTTCCATTTGTACTGAAAATTAAAAACATTTCCATTTTCATGGTTTAATGAAGAATTTTTCTTTTTTTCATCAAGGAGAGGGTAAGAAAATAAATTCCCATAGACAAAGTATATCTAGGGCACAGGGCTGTAAAAGTCTTCCCAGAAAATAAGAATTCATGAACTCGAGTACAGAGAGATACTTTGTATGAATGTAAACTCTGAGTTTTCATTATACAAATGATGCGCATGTATGAGTGGGTCGGTAGGAATTGTGTGCACAAGGTAACTTTTGGCTTGGTTTAACACACAAGGCGTAGCCGAGTGTTTTAGACCTGCCCAAAGTTACCACATGCACACAATTTCAGCGACCCACAAAATCAAACTGCGTATCATCTGTTTTATACAATGGACTTTAAAACAAAAAATTACAAGACGCATGAAATCATTTTACCGTAAGCATTAAATTTTTTACCAGACGAATGAAACCAAATAAAAAATTTAAAAATTAGAATTATACCCCACAAAATTAAAAAAATTATTCATGTTATAGATATGAATTACCTTGAATATATGTTTGTTAATTTCGTTGAAAATGAAAATCAATAATATCCCTGTGGAGGGAAAAAGTATGAAGAAAAAAAAATGGAAAAAAATTATAACGATTAAAAAAACATTTAAAAAATAAAAATTTAAAAGAAATGTAAGAATCGTTAAAAAAAAAATTGTAAAAAAGAAATATAGGAAAAATATAATTCTATAATAACATTTTGATAAACTACAATTTCACATCTTTCATATTTGTGTACTTTTATCTATACACCATTAACAAAAAATGTGGATGCACTAGAAGCAAAAAACAAGATTTCAGAGAAAGTGAAAAACTAAATAATTTCAAATTTGTTCATCCCTTTAAGATAAGAAACTTCCACTCTAATATTTCCCATATTTACAACTATAAATAAGAAAGGAATTCTCCTCTGTATATATACAAAATAATAGCGACAATTTTTACATGTACAAACGCTTGTTGGATACAACATTAAAACAAATGACTGCCTATCATGTCAAATCTTCTGTTTAAAGCAAGAGCAGCAATCACCCTGTGTTCAGGTTTGTTCAGACATGAGTTACAGTGAAGTATGTTTTACAATTTCTGTATCTTATAACATGTTGCATACAGTTGCCATTCATTTACAACTCAAAACAAACATGAAAACATGGCAGCTTTTTTTTTTTACAGTACCTCATCTGAATAAGCCTTTAAAGTGCACAAGTTAACACAGGAATTCAAATTGGAATTATTTGAAATGTCACAATTTTAAATTGATCATTGTCAAACAGGACTAATCACCCTAATGAAAAATAATAAGATTTAGAGGGATTACCCAAGAGGTACATGAGATATTCATGTGGTAAACATGGATTAAAAAAAGGAGGAAAATTGTTAAGATCACACAGATATCTTCTGAGCATAGGACTTATATTAGAGAGTCGACTCATTATATTATATTATATCAGTGAGTCGACTCAAGTACATGTACTAATAAGTTGCCTTTATCATTATTTAGAATGTCTTTTTTGACCCATCACATGACAGGCGAGATCACTCTCTTCTTTTAGTCATGATATGAAATCCGTAAACATTCTTTTCTTCAAAATAAATATATAACTATTTATTATTATTATTCAAACAAAACAAAAAACAAAAACTTTCTAAATATTTTTAACACTTTGCAAACTGTTATAAAACATTTGTTTTGCAGCAAGAATTTGTTGAGAATTCAATTCAATTTCCCCCCATCATTTCACACCATGAAAATGTCAAGAATCTGAAGCACCTACAAAATTCATGAAAGTTTCTAAACAATTAGTAAATTTTATGAATGAATTCATTGCCTATTAAATCTACACAAATACTGTTTCCAACTTCTAAATATTAAGAATGTACATGATTCTCCAAATTGTAATTCTACTGTCTTTGACCATCTCTCATCCTACATTCCACATTAACAAGGTTTCTCCAACATGGGACAAAAGCCTCTATAAAAATCTACCTATTGCCAACTGGTGTGATATTCTACTTGTTCAAACGTTTAAAACCCATTTATATATTTAAAGCCCTCAAGCTATTTGTTGCAATGATTTCAGTTGATCATACAATTACACTCGTTACCTGGTTCATGTTGATGTGAGCCTATGATTATGTAATATTTCAGTTACAGTGTGATAGAGCTCTGGAAATAAAGCATGTTATCTGAAAGTTTGTGTGTAGTTGTTCCAGTTCCTAGCTAGGAAGACCTGTTGGGTCTGTCCCTGTTGGTTCTGGACCTGGATCTCCACCTGACCTGGTTGGACCTGGACCCCTTGTTGTTGGTGCCCTTGCGACTGAGCCTGGATGATGGATGAAGGAATGGGGACAATGTTCTGAGCAGAGGATTGGAGCTGCAGGAGCTGCGTGGCTTGTTGGAAGTGTGTCGGAGACTGCCGAAGGTGGCTGACGTCAATAGTCTGAGGGCCTCCTTCGACTTGCGTCACCTCGGCCACGTTTGGTTGGCTGGCAGAAACTGTTGTTGCAACCTGACCTACAGGCTGGCTGATACCTAGTGCGGCTTGACTAACAGCCATGGCGGCCTGGGTGACAGTCAATTGGGGCAACTGATTCTGGGCAATGGATGCCTGGTTGGCGTGGATGGAAACAGGTACAGTGATGGTTTGAGGCTGGCCAGAAATCTGGAAGGTCGACTGTCCAAGGAGTCCAGGCTGGGAATGTATAATCCTCTGGGCTAGGTTCTGATAATCAGCATTGGGCTGCTGGCGGAATTCATTGATGGTCTGTGAGAGTTCTGACATCGCCTGGGTTAGCAGATCTGTAGCTTGCACAGACTCTGTCTGCACAACAGGCACCTGACTCGTTTCAATGTACCGAATAGTTTGTTGGTTTTCAGTACTACGTTCAGTGCTGACAGAAGCACCATCGTTCTGACCTTGAGGTGCAACAACCACTTGTAATGTCTGCTGGCCGCCAAGAACTTGCCCACTGATGTGCTGCAGAATTGGCTGTAGGGTTGTGGTTCCATCAGGGTTGACGGTGGCTATTTGGATGTGCTGAAGATCATTTGCAGTAAGCTGTGTCTGATTCTGAGACAAAGCCTCCTGTACAGCTTGCTGGATGTTCTCTGGTACTTGTGCCACCAACGTGATGGAACCAGGCTGCTGACCTTCCGCTTGGACAGGTGTCTGCTCCTGGACAACTGTCAGCTGCTGAGGATTGTTCATCATGGCTGCTGCCTGGACAGGCTCCATGTGCTTCTTGCGGACGTGATCCATCATTTTAGCCTTTGTACTGTACTGCCTTGGACAATGTGCACAGGCAAAGTAATGGGTTGTTGTTGTCCCTGCAGGCGCTGTGTGTGGATTACCAAATGGGCTGTTGGGGTCACCTTTGGTTTGGCGGAGACTTGGAGGGACAGAAGCTCCAGGATGATTTTTAACAATATGAATCTTCCTCTTGCTACTGCTCTTGTAGACTTTCTCACAGTATGCACAGAAATAGTTGCGGTTTGGTTTGACGATTGGCAGGTTAAGTTCTGGTACGGTATCAGGGGCAACCTCTGGGTGGCGCTTTGCAAGATGATTAACGAGCATCCCCCTACGCTTGAACCCTAAGGTACATGGACGACACTTGAAAGTAAAGGCAGTCATTTCAGAGGGAGGAATCTTTGGTTTGAAGGGCATCTTCTTCGGTTCTTCAGCTTCCAACTTATTCCGCAGCTCCCGTTCTGGATTGTGCATCCTGGACATATGCTCCTTCAATTTGTCTTTCCTTTTGAACTGTTTGCCACAGTTGGCGCAGAGGAAGTCCTTCTGGTTAGAGTGACGAAGCATGTGCAACTTTAATTTATCTGGACGGGGGAATATCTTGTGACAGTGCATGCAGGGGAACTCCTTCATGGAATGGAAACCTCGAATGTGCTTCCTAACGTGGTTATATTCTGAAAAGCGCTTGCCACAGTGGGGACAGGTATAGAATCCATTGAATGCATGGGTTTGGACATGAAGTTTGAGGTGCTCATTGCGATCAAAAGTATCAGCACAAAAAGGGCATGTGTAGTACTTTGTCCCACTATGAGTCTTCAGATGGACTGACAGTGCTGAATTGTTCAAGAAGCACTTGTTGCAGAACTCACACTGAACAGTCTTCTTCCTCTCCCGAGAATGGAGGTCCATGTGTCGATTGTATCGGACCTTGATTCGGAACACCTTGAAACATTCTCTGCATCTGTAGGTAGGGCGGGTCCTGGAGCGTAGCACAAACTCTCCAGTGGAACCCTGTCTGCGACCATGGTCAGTAGCGTGTAGTGCCAGTTCCTTCTGGGATGGAAACACCTCTGTGCAGGTAGGGCAAATGAAGCCTCCTTTAGTGTCTCCACTATTCTCCTCCTCCTCTTCTTTCGCTGCAGCCTGTCCTGCAGCACTAGCTGATGCATCTCCTTCACCATCAACAGGTTTCTGACCTTCCTGGCTGGCATGAACATCCGATGGAACATCATCTCCATCCTCTCTAATTCCATCATCTCTGTTCTCATGGTTGATGTCTTCTTTTTTCATTTCCAATTCATCTTCTTCATCTTCCTCTTCCTCCTCCTCTTCCACTTCACCATCTTCCATATCTTCATCCTCCATCTCCTCCTCCTCCTCACCATCATCTCTCATTGCTTCAGGATTCTCATCAAAGTGAAGGCTGACATGAATCTTCAACATGCGTTTACTCTCAAACTCCAGGTCACAGTGTTCGCAAGCAAATGACAGGTTTCCGTCGCCTGTGGGCTGGTCTGATTTCCGTCGTCTTAGCGGGGGAAGCGGCCCTGAGAACTCTCCCCTCTCTTTATGCCGGCGCATGTGTCTTGTGCGGTTGTAGATATGGGCGAATGTCTTATTGCAAACATCACATGTGAAGTTCTTCTCACCGGAATGCATCACTAGATGGCGCTGTAGACTGTAGAACCGTGGAAACTTCTTATCACAGTAATCACAGCTATACTCTTCCTTGGTCTCTGACTTCATATGTTCCAGTTTGGCTTGAGCAAGCTTGCGCTGCCGTTGCCTGTAGCCTTCTGGATATTTTCGTGGCCTACCCCGCTTGCCCCGGCCTCGACTCTTAACAACCGGGGCATCGTGGCTGGACAGATGTTTCTGGAGGAGTTCAGAGGTTCGGAATTTACGTGTGCACTCAAAGCAGGGCCACGTGTTCTCCTTCTCTTGCAATTCTGTGAACAATTAAAGAGAGACACATAGAAATTACATTACCAGTGATGGCTTCAAACAAGCTCTATAAAAAATACTACACTGAATGATGCTTGACGGATATTGATACTTAATAAAGTCTTTATAATCTATGGCATCATACAGGATGGTAATCAAAACAAATTCATTAATCTCTTAAAGGCCGTCTGTACTAGTTCGGCCAGAAGGGATTAGACCACCCAGCGAGGTCACTGACAGGTGGCTATCTCATCAACTCAGCTCTCAATTAAAATAAGAAAAAAGAGGATCTTTGGGGACCAACAGGCAACGATTGGGGAAGTTTTTTACATAGAGGAAGCAAGTAGCTACAAGTAGTACAGTGGGGCTTTAATGGTCTATGCATAGGCCTTGGCATACTAGACCCTAAGCTCTCTCCTATTTGGATATGCTGGACGGTTGCACATCGATCTCTAAATACCCCTGCCCCCTTTTCCTAACGGTATGCCTCTTATATCATTTCCCAATCTTGTGAAAAGTTTTTTAATGTTTCTTCATTTACCTGCAGTTTCCTCTGCAGTAAGTAATGTCTAAGATGATTTCTTCTGATTGACCGTGTGAAGTCACAATGCCTTTCAGTAATTATTTCACTTAGATTTTGTCGCAGGTAAGTAAAAGTCTAAAATGCGATTTGAATACAAGATAATTTAACTTCTTAGCTTAGCGATTTACTTAGTAGATTTCTTACTTATTTTAAGTAATGAATTGAATACCGGCCCAGATCCTTATATCCTTCCTGGGTACTATAATCTTGATAATTGCAAGGTTATGTCAATACTATCCTTCCCTTTCCCTTCCGGTGACACCCCGACTCCATTCCCAGAACTTAGACTAATTCTAATACGTCTTTCCTTTTGCAAACGTGTGACTCAGACTGATCACTTAGCTGGAGAAAGTCCACAGGAGTGGATGAAAGCTTGCAAAACAAATTTAAGGTTGGTAGAAGCTTAAAAACTACATGTTATCATTATCCCCAACTGATGAAAGTTTTCTGTAGAGTTTTCTAAAACGTTTCTTACCTGCGGCTTCCTCTGCGGTTATTTCTAGGATGTTCTCCCCAATAGTCTCTGCATACGCCTTGGCATACCATATCCTCAGCTCCGTCCTTGGTGGGATGTTCTTGATGGTTGCAAAGTAGATCTCTGTACCACCGAGCTGGAATGCTATCAGGTTCTGTTCTGAGTAGCACGAAGCGGGCCGGATGAAGCTCATCCAGTTAGACTCGTACTCGTCGGCGCAGTCTATGTACATGTCCTCACCATTGCGCTTCACCTACAAGTGTTTGGAAGAGGGAGAGAGAGAAAACACAGGGATGCCAGTTAGAATTGATCAGAGGGTCTGAAAATCACTTAGAATGAGCTATTTAGTACACAAAAAAAGCCTAAACTATGGTCTGAAAATAACTCGCTAGGGCCTGAATTCAGGCTATTGCCTGAAAACATCATGACACATTATGCTGTACCATGTGTACTAGTGCTGTAGTCAAACGTTTAACCGTCTGGTATCCGACCGCCCATGGCGGATTCCGTTTTCAATTGGACATTTTTTTTTTTTTTAATCGTTTAACCGAAAACCGTCCGGTTTTGACTGGCGGTTAAACGGAATTGGAGATATCCGTGTGTTACAGCACTAATGTGTACAATAAGATGTATTATACAACAGTTACAACTCACTTCTAAATCCTAACCAAATGATTGGTTTAACACGAAAGCATACCTACCATAGATGCATACAGCCAGAGCCTCAACTCAAGTGCAGATAGATTGTATAATGTGCTTAGGAATCACTTAACAATCTCACCCCACTATTTAAGTCTTTACTCAGAGCCACAAATACGTGTGGGTTCCGTATGTATTAGTGGGACACCAAAAATGTCACGAAGTGGGTCCCTAATTTTTGGAATTATCCATATTCACTAATGCACTTGCAAACATGTATTATTTGTATAATAATATTATCGTAGGTAAAAGCTAACGGACATCATTGGGGTACTAGTCTTACATTCCATGTCATGTGGTCTTTCGGGACTTCATCTCTGGTGACTATTCTCCCCTCAAGAGGTCCAAACTGAGTTCTCTTTGAAATGGTTCTCTTTGCAAACACACCTGAAATGATCAAATCAACATAACACATAACTCATTCATCATTTTAATAAAATATGATTTTCTTTTTCATTCAAAAAGTGTTTATAAATTCTTACACAGGGTTCCAGCATTTTCTGAAAACAAAATTAGATTCTTACAATTTGTCCTGCATTGGAGGTTCAGAATTTCAGGATTTTTACACTGAAAAGCCAACACAGCCAATCATGGGGTTGATACGCCAACTGGACAAGAGACAATATATAGAGATTTTGAAGCCGATGAAATTCCCTGATTTTTCCTGATTTTGGCACAAGTCCCAGACTTGAATTAAATAAGAACTCTGCCCTCATCACCCTCCCCAATCATAAGTTCAATGAGAGGTTCTTCCTAAAGATGTAATAAAGATTCTTACACCTTGACTATAAGAGGCAGACTGACCCTTTTTCTCCCCCTTAAAAACCCTAAATACATCGTTTACCAATGTTTAATCTGATATGCATGGCCCTACTTATTATCAGTGCCTGTGATATGGTGTAATATTGAAGCCCTAAAAAAATTGTGATTCAAATTGATAATGAAGTGCCTAAAAAAAAAAATCTTTAAGTGACCAGTTTTATCATACTTATTTTCCCCGATAGACTATAGTGTTATGAAAACCGTTAAAAAAAAACAGTTTTTGAAATTTTGATTTCCAATCATATCTTGATAGTCAGGCGATCGGCTTGTAAAATTCATGGGGTTCCTGACTGACCTAAAGGTTAATAATTATGATTGCTGCATAACCCAATTCAAGGATTTTGTTTCAGAATCTGAGACAAAGATACCCTAACCCTTTAAACACACTCTCTTCCCCCTAAATTGTTGCTTGCTTACCTATCTCATCATCCTCGACCTTGAAGATTTGTAGCATAGGAGGCAGACTGGCCCTAGCCCTTGAGATGATGGGTTTATCTGCAATGGTCTGGATGGCTCCCTGGCGTAAGAACTCCTCCTCATCTACAGGGTCTCGGTCATCACCCGCTGCAATGAGTGGCAATGGGGAATAAATGGCATTGTCACATCAGGGGGATGTTACACAAAGATCCTAAGTTGAACTTATCTCTAAGTTGGACTTCAAAATTATGGAAAGCCCTGAACATCCTTGAAAATATGTTGTAAAAATTATTTTCAAAGGCATAAAATGCTGATTCAAATCATAATGGCTGGAATGCTCCCCAGGCAGTGGAGAATGTGCATACATTGTGTGCAGGTAATCCTTAATCCGGGGTAATAATGACCGGGGTAATAATGACCGGGGTAATAATATATATCTGTAAAGCGTTTTGAGAGGGCCTGCGATCCTGAAATGGCAACAAAAGAACAAACTATTATTATTCCTATTGTTTTGTGCAAAGTTGCACATGTGGTAAACTTCCAACTGTGCAATAAAGCATAGCAAGCAACTGAAGTGCTAATGGTGGAAAACCTTACCTCCCGGTGGTTCATCCTCTTCCTCTGTATCATGGAGTAGCTGATGGACCGCTTTGGAGGCTTTCCTCTCAGGTCTGTTCCTTGGTACATTGGGGACCAGGTTCAACCCAGATGGGCCAGCTATGTCCTCAGGTTTAATGCTGTTGATCATGTTCACAAGTCCAGAATTTACTTGCCCTAACGAAGCAATTAGTGAAATATTCAAAATCAATGAAAAGACTTGTAAACCATACTCTATTGAATTATTTAAATTTGACTAACTGAAAATTGAAGGGAGACACTGTATCTATGAGTGATATGAGTAGTTCAATTCAATTCAATTCAAGGTTTATTAAAAACATGTGTCGCAGTCCAATGGCTGAATTGGTCATGTGTACAATTAAAAGACTCATTGCATATTTCAAACATAAAATACAGTTACAATTGATTTGTCAATATTGAAATATATATGAGATTGCTTGGGCAGCAAAAATAAGAAAACATAATATAACATAAAGTCAGAATAACGAAGAGGAGAAACATCAAGAAAAGAAGTAACAGAGGAAGTTGTAAAAATGTTGTGATGACTTGATTAGCCCATGCAGAATTCAAGTCAGACTATTAGAGTGAATCTAGTTGACATACAGAAATATGTGCCCACTAGCCCATCAAATTCATAACCATAATTCATTTCGGGGAGGGTCCAATTGTACCCCTATTCAGATTTACAATTATAATATCTATCTCAATTTTGCATCAACAACAATTTTCATCAAGTGCAACTGTTAAAAAAACAAGGCCCATAACACACAAGACTAAAATTGTTTGTTTGTTTGTTTTATGTGACTGCTAAGAAAGCATTTGCATGCTTCTAAGTAAGCAACCAGGGGACCAACAGCTTTAAATCCTCTCCAAGGGACTACCTAATGAGGATTGATGCCTTGCCAAATGGCACTAGCGCATAGACTTGGTTTCGAACCTGGGACTTCCCGGTTACGAGACCACTGCTCTAAGTAGGAGTGTCATGGCTGAGTAGTTTAAGGCGCTTGACTTGAGATGCGAAGGTCGAGGGTTTGAATCGCGACACAGCACTTATATCATTAGCCGAGATATTAACCTGCACTTGCTACTCTCCAACCAGGTGCTAAATGGGTACCCGGTAGGATGCAACCGCCATTGTTGGTCAAACAGTTTTTGAGCGTCAAATAATGCCTGGCTGGAATGCTCCCTAGGGAGTGGAGATTGTGCACACAGTGTGTGCGGGCAAGCACTGAATCCAATGACCGGGTAAAAGTATATCTGTAAAGCACTTAAAGACATTGTAGATGTATTAAGCACTATATAAAACCAGATTGTTCATGAGGGACCTTAAATCCACAAGCCTTGCTTTCAACCAAGGTCACCCCATCTTTCTATTGTAACGCCATATTCTGTTCACTCTTTTATATTCATGTCATATTTGTAATGTGTGTAAATAAAACTTGAAACTTGAAACTTGAAACTTGAGATTATTATTATTATTATCATTACCACTGAGCCATCGCACCTCCTTAATTGTGAAGAGAAGCCTGAACAAGGCATGTGTATTGTGTAGCTTCTCAATGAGGCGCGATAACTCAGTCGGTAGAGCGGTAATTCGGTGACCCGGGTTTGAAACCAAGGCGATGCGCTAGTGCCCTTTGGTAAGGCATTAATCCTCCTTACCAGGTCTCTCGGAGAGGACCTAAAGCTGTAGGTCCTCTGGTTGCTCACTAACAAGCATTTATGCTTTCTTAGCAGTCTGGTAAAATAACCACCACTACATTAACTAAACCTATCTCACCATTGTGCATGATCTGTGCCACGGATGCTGGGTTAAGGGTAACGCTGATCTGAGCAGTGGAGAGCTCCATCAGGTCCCTGGACTCTGTTCTCTGCTGGGATTGGTCTGCTGTTGATGCGGTATCCATGGTGATGATGTGGGTGGGGACAGGGTGGTGGGATAAGCTGGAGTCTGGTAGGATGGTGACGGCTATAGGGATTGCCTCATTGTCTATCAAAATAATGGGATATATACATGACATGATGAAACGTATGAAAGTATTCATCACAATCAGGATCTTAGTCAGATTTTGGTCTGATTAAAAGGCTTTTAGAGTATATCCAAACTGCATGCAAATTCTAGTCAAATCATATTTATAACAATAATTCAAATATTCCTAAATGCAAAGTTAATTTATATAAATTCATACACACTGACCAATCCTCGACTTGCAATTCAAGTGAGGAAGAAACATGTTCAGAGTCGCTACTACATTAACACAAGTAATTTTTTAATCACTATTGGTCTGGAGTGACTGTAGAGTTTTATACAAGTGTTCCAGTAAATCATACAAATATAAATCATGTTGGAAAGGGACTTGTTTAGATTTAATTTCACCAATCTGAAATGGTGTCAGAGCTTTAAAGCCTTCTGCACTAGTTTGGCCAGGGGAATTAGACCTCCCTGCAAGATCACTGACAGGTGATCTTATCTCATCAAATCAGCTCTCAATTAACAACAGGCACCGATTAGGCATTGTTTGCTAAATAGAGGGCGCAATTAGCTACAAGTAGTACAGTGGGGCTTTAATGTTTCACCTGGTGTGTGTTGTTGCTCTCCCTGGGCAGCTGCTGCTGCTGTTGCCTCATTATACACTGCCTCTCCAAGTCCCTGGACGGTGGATTCTGGACTTTCTGGATGATTGTCTCTGGCAGGAGCACGTCTACTGGAGACCATTACACTTGTACCCTCACCAGATGGAGGCTGTAGCTAAACAGAATTACATGTAAATAATAATAAGTTGTAGTATTCATATAAGTCCTTGAAGGAGCTAATTATGTACCAATCTGAAGAAAAAGATAAGGGTAGAAAGGGTAGGCCCTACTGTCTCTCTCACCCCCCCCCCCCCCACAATTTTTTTTTTTTTTAAATATACATATATAAGAACATTTCATTTACATTATGAAATTGAAAACTTTAGAATAACCCTTTTCACAGACATCTCTGGTGAGTATGTTTTAACACCAATCTGTCAAGTGTACACAACAATTCCAACTTCATAAAATTGTGACTTACATGTAGTTCTAAGGTGTTGTCAGAGCTTGATACTCCATCATGCTGCATAGGACTCCTGACAGGATGATGCTGCTGCAGTTGCTGGTTATCACCAGCGTGTGGCGGCCACACTAGCTCTCTGCCATCAGCCTCCATGTTGTCTCTGAGACGGGAAGGCTGACGTCAGGTAACCGAGAACGCTACGGCTTGTCAGAGCTCTAGAATGGTCTGTGAAACTGCACGAGAGAAAAAGATGAAGAGACAAAAGTTATTTCACCATGGAGTAAAAAAAAATTACTCTAATGTACATGGGAGCTCTTTCGGATTGGGTAGAGTAAATATGAAACTAGGTTTTACTGATAATTTAAATGCAATTTCATGTAGACCTCTAGGTTTTCTATTTTTACCATAAGTGTTGTTTTTGTTGTTTTTTTGTTTTTTTTGGGGGGGGGGGTATAATTCTCGATAGGAGCTCTATAGTATACAGAGTTAAATTGATCACTAATTCATTGTATTATTCATATTTTTATGTTTTTTAATCTATCTTTTAGTAGTGTGGGTACTTTTGTCTTGATCGAGGTCAGACTATCCGTAACTAAAAAAGTATAACAGTATAGATCTAGATCTAGGATCTTCTAAAAATTAAAATATAAAAAATAAAACAAAGCAAGAAAAATGTTTTTTTTAAAAGAAGAAGAAAAAAAAGAAAAAACAAAATTTGAAATCGAAATTAAAATACAAGCAAAAGAAGAAAAAATAAATAAATGATGACTTCAGTCTTTCGCTTTCAGTTTCAGATAGATTTATTTGAAGAAAAAAAAAAATTTGGTCAATATTAATTTAATTGTTTTATTTCATCAAATTTGTTCATGAAAATCAAGACTTCTTTGTTAATGACCATTTTAATAAGGCCATGTAAAATTGATTTCATGTTGATCGTCCCCGCCCGCTTCCTTTTTGGGGGCCGCCTCCTATTTTTTGTTATTTGTTATTTTTTTATTTTAAAAAAAAAAAAAAAATTAATTTTTTTTTTATTTATTTATTTTTTTGAAAGAAAAAAAACATGAAAAACACTGCTAAAATGGCTCTATTTCTGATTAAAAAAAAAAAAAAAATTGTCGGCGGCCATCTTGAAAAAAAATAGCCTCGACTGTCAGGGAAAATGTACCGAGCGGCCATTTTGAGCGGCCATTTTGAAATATCAAATATCAAATAACATGGTACACCCTCCTCCTCTTTTTCAAAAAATCCGGACGATCAACATGTAATCAATTTTACATGGCCTAATGTATGCCTAGGGGTCTATAGCCTAGTAGGCTATACGGTAGCCATAGGCTAGCTACATTGTATGTCCATGACCATTGCTCTAATTTGATTATTTGTATTATTAGTCTATAGGCCTATTAATAATTAATTAATTGCTTCCAGAAAGTGATGAAGAAACTCGGTTAACTAGCTCAGTTTGAACTTGAAGCTAGCTAACACATTAGACTATATCACAGAGATAAGACACCCCCATTCGTGTAAATGGATACAATCCGGACCGGGGTGGTCCATTTTCCCTAGGTTGGTCCAATGTCACGAAAACTTCATGCCCAGCGGTCCGCTGCCCAACAGTTTGCACGCATGCACGGCATTACAGAAAATAGGGAGCGCATTCATTTGGGCGAGGAAAATGGACGCCTCCAAAAGCAAAGCAGCCGTGAAAGCCCCAGTCAGATCGCGCTCGAGGGACATATGGAGAAGTAATTTTCTGAGTTATATACTCCCGAATTCGAAAAATTGTCAAATTATGGCACACTTTGATTATATAAAAAACAAAATGATAAAATTAAGCATAATAAGAGGTATGTCAACTGCGTTTTAAACCAAGAAATGTTATTGACGTGTTTTTTTTTCTCGCCATCTTGTTCACTCCGCTGCATAAAGAAACTCCCCCATTTCTGGATCACTAACTACGAGTCAGTGTAAATAAAGACACTAATTCAGGAAAAATTCGACCAAAATAAACCACACACACAAAATATATCTCATCATCAACACTTGTTAAATGCATATTTCATATTTAAAATCGATATTTCTGACGTTATAAACAAATATTCGCTCTCAAAACAGTGCAAACATCTCCACAAGATGGGTCGTGCAAATTATTTTGGGTGGGTCATGACGACGTTTTCGTAGAGCGTTATTGTGATCCGAATTTTAGGCGAACATTTTCATCTGTAACATGATATAAACTGGTAACATCATACAACTCTTAGAACTAACCTCTCACAGGAAATAAATATTTAACATGAGTAATAAGAAGTCAGAAAATTGTGAAATATGAGGTGTATTTTTGCTTACCCTTCACCTCTGTCGTAGGTTGTTTGCGCCCGATTCGGTTACTTCGATAGCCAAATGAAAGCTGAAATCTCATTGGATGATGCTCGTGCCAAGCAAAGGCTCCATCGCATTTATTTTTCACATTTTCATCAATTTCCTGATTGACTGAACAATTTCTTTTACATTTTACTTCTTTATTTACTTTATATATTACCTTTGATATTCTTTAAATACATATTTTTGAAACACAATCGAAAAATCAAGCTGTAAATGGTGTTTAGATTATTGATGAAATATAGCCAATAGAATCACGCGTAGTTTATGACATAACAGTGTCGGTGACGTTGGGCTGCTCCAAAATCTAATGAATATTGATGATATGCAAACAAGGTGAAAGGACAGCTCCAAAATAATGCAATAATTTGCACCAATTAATAATGGACTCTCCCATGAAGTTTTGACCACTTGTTTAGATTATCAAAACTTCGGGAAAATAATAAAAAATGTGGAAACTGTTGAGAATTGAAAAATCCATCAAAGAAGGAGAGATATATAGGAAACTTCCAATAAAGATGTCAAATTCATTAAATCTGTTACTAATTTTGGTTGTGTCTGGGATTATTTGATGCAATAGCTAGCCCCTTGATTCTCCATTCCATTGTCTAAATCTTCCTTTTTATTTTGTAAACTAAGAAGAAAAAGGGCATTACAATTATGTGTAGCCATGAAAGTCATGATTATTATATAACAACAAATGAATGAAATAAAATAAAATAAAATAAAATTAGGCATATGATGATGAAAATAATGTTAATAAAAAAATAATGAAAACAACAATGATAGCAATTACAATGATAATGATAATAATAATTATAATAATAATAACAAATTCATTGAATATTTGAAGTTCGTGAACGGAAGGAATAGTTTCAATGTAGGCCTGGCCTCACTTAGCATTTACACATAAGGCTAAATAACAAAAGTATCGAGTTTCTCATCCGGACTTTTATCCAACTAGGAGGCAGGGCTTTATACTATGTTTACAATTTTTGATGAAAATGTTCATCACAGCCTTTTTCTTTTTTTCTGAATAGTAGATAGTAGAAAAAAGGAGGTGGGCAGGTGGACGATTAACTCGTTACTTTTGCTATTTGGCGTAAACTAGAAAGTAAAGGATGGAAATCATTTTTGGTTCTTTGCAATCGTTCATCTATGAGATAGGCTTTGTTGACTTTAACTCCTTTTAAGACTTAAAGAAATGAAAAAAGGTAATTAAAAATGATAATAAAAATGATAACAAAATATGATGATAGTAATAGTAATAACAATAATAATAATAGTAAGAAGAAGAAGAAGAAGAAGAAGAAGGTGAAGGAGAATAAAAAATAAATAGAAGGAATGAAAAAGAAGACATAGCAAATAAAGAAAAAGAGGTGGAAAAGAAAAAAGAAAGAAGAAAAAAGATAACTAACATAAGGGAAAAGTTAATGCAGAGCACAAATACAATTTGGAAGGCTATATGACATATTCATGATTTTATTGAAAGAGAAAAGTATCAAGTAGGACTAGGATATACAAATCATACAGGGATAAAGGAAGATAGAGAGGGAGAGAGAGAGAGATAGAAACGAAGAGAGGGATAGAGAGAGAGAGAGAGAGAGAGCGAAAGGAGGTGAGAGTGCATGGGTGGAAAATCAAGTAGCAAGCCTTTTACATGAAAAACATTTTGGAACAGACAATCCGACACACTTTAATTTTTTTTATTAAAAGTATAACTTTATTCAAAACAAGTTATAGAATCACAATAAATTCAATTATTTTTCATTAAAGTTCACAGATAATTAGAATTTCATATTTTTTCCCTTCACAAAATCAAGAAGTATTTTAGAAAATAGATTGTAGCATACCGTTTCCTGCTCTCGATACACACTCGTTGAGAAAGTAAGAATGTACATTTATAATCACACACAAAATATGTTCTGGCAGCAATAACTGATTTTAGAACTTTAGAAGCAGATCCAGGGGGTACCAGAGGGGCATGTGCCTCCTTACATTATCTTTAGTACATAATCAAATCAACACCCCCCCCCCCCCCCCAGCTATTCAGCCTGGATCGGAGTGATCGACTGAAATTCAGACGGTATATTTTCATTGTGTATACATGTATTTACTAAAGTAGTTGTACAAATCCGAACAGATAACTACACATCATTCTGCATCTTAAACAGTAACATTACTATCGAGCACATTTTGTATTATTTAGACGCCATTCACTGACCCCCCCCCCCCCCCCCCCCCCCCAATTATGGACAGCATATCTTTAAACTTCATTACTTACAAAATACATGTATTGAGAAAAACTGCAATAAAATTCATCCAGAATACACTGCAGGCATTTTGAAAGACATGTAATTCAATGGATAATTTAGAACATTGAAACTGCACATGAACATTCATCTCCTACTTCAGATTTTTGTCCGATCTACTGATATAATTATGTGTTATAATTCTAAAGACTGCTCTGAAGATAAAGAGACCTAAAGGGGAAGTCCAACTAGTTTTCCTCTAGAAACGTTCAGTCATACATGCACCCTAAATATACAAGACAACCCCTGTATGGAAAAACACATCAATTTCGTCATCAATAACAAATAATGAAAGTTTATGAAATGTTATGTACTGAGCAAATTGGAGTGGAGCTCGCAAGACACAATGTACATCACAGAGCTCCCAATTCGTGATCACAACTTAAAAAATTCTTTCTCACTTTTTTAAAGGCATATAGTAGATTTGTGGTCTCTATAGTACTTGTTTTGAGCTAGCCTTTTTGAATGTTTTTAACAAGAACATATGGTACTATGATACATGTACACACTGTAAAGGACCATCATAATTAGTCTAATCTATGCATATATCTACAGACATTGTATCTATTTGTATCTATATAAAAAAAAAGAGATTTTTCAAGGCATTTGAATATACATTGTATGTGAACACGATCATTACATAAAAATACAGTCAAGTTCATGTTTTGATATAATCATCAGGAATAAAACTCTTAAAATTGAAAGATACAGAAATAACAAGGTCACTTGAATTATTATTGAATTTTGGTATTGAATATTGAAATTAATATCACTTGTATCAACACACAAAAAGATGTTATCATCTGTATGAAGAATATAATTTGCATACAAATTACAGGTAATGGTTGATCATTTCTAGACCTATAACAAGTTAACAACTATTCGTTTCAGATTCTGCTACAGATTTAAACTTTGTTTACATTGTAATTCAGCTTAAAATGGTTGCAGTTTACTCAAGATATCAAGAATTCATATTGTTCAACTCATCACACATTTATTAATGTGGCTTAAAGTGTACTAATCACTAGATCATGTTTTGTTCTTGATGTAAGGGGTTACATATGGCTATACCTTATTAAAATAGGAGCTTCAAGTACTACTTGTACAAAGATATATTCCAGTGAAACGTCTCGTTGAGAAGACAAGTGAACACACACATACGCTCAAGCACAGAACCCAAGTTCGCCTTGGGTTCCATGAGGGCCATATATGCAGCTTTTGTTACGTTATCCTTTATTTTCTTCATACTCCTAACAGAATGCCAGGTAAAGATCTTGGAAGTTGCTTTTATTATTCATACCTTCTTGCTATTCTCAATATTTGTAAGGTGACTGGTACACCTTCATTTCCTTACTGTTTATTACTATAGAAGAAAAATTGACCTCTTTAAAAGTTTACAAGATCATGCTATATTGTTTGAACTGTAGTACTTAAAGAGTGCAGATCAATTCAGTTTTTCCAAATATTACAAAGAAAATTATATGAAGGTAAAAATATGATTTAGAATTTCTATGAAGTACATTCACAAAAACAGTACTGCAGGAAAAAAGTACCGGTATAGACAGTGTGTACCACTCCAAATAATAACAATACTGTACCATTTTTTCATTACCATATAGAAGAGCCCTGTTAGTTATAGAGTGCAGATCTATGAAGTTTTTTTTCAAAATATTCCAAAGAACATTATACGAAGGTAAAAATATGATTCAGAATTTCTATGAAGACATTCACAAAAACAGTACTGCAGGAAAAAAGTATAGAGAGTTTATATCACTCCTTATAATAACAATACTGTACCATATTTTCATTGCCCTATAGAAGTTTGACAACACAGATTCTGACACTTTGATGAAACTTGAAAGTACTGTATAATGGTTCAAGAAAAGCCCTGTTAGTTATAGAGTGCAGATCTATTCAGTTTGTCCATAGGTATATTCCAAAGAATATGATATGAAGAGAATTTCTATGAAGTACATTCACAAAAACAGTACTGTAGGAAAAGAGGATAGACAATGTATATTACTCATCATGACAGTACTGTACCTTTTTTTCCTTGCCCTATAGAAGTTTGACAAAGCATATTCTGACACTTTGAAACTTGAAAGTATAATGGTTCAAGAAAAACCCTGTTAGTTATAAAGTGCAGATCTAATCAGTTTGTCCATATGTATATTCCAAAGAAAATAATATGAAGGTAAAAATATGATTCAGAATTTCTGTAAGTACATTCACAAAAACAGTACTGCAGGATAAAAGTACCGTTATACACAGTGTATATCACTGCTAATAATTACAATACGGTAACATTTTTTTCAGTACCTTTTAGAAGTTTGACAACAATGCAGATTTGAAACTTGAAACACTTTGAAACTTGAAAGTAACATCGATAGTGTCCAAAGAAATATATTTTACATTATATACTGCAAATGAAGATTCTAGGCCTAGGTGAAAAGGGCAGGTTTAAAATTTGCTACTGACTGTTGGTACAGCGAAAAAATAAACACTGGGCATAGTTCTACTCAGGCTTACAATGCAAGGACATTATGCTTGCGCATGAAGTTTAAAGTGTAAAGCACTCATAAGGTGGTAGCATAAGACAATTGCTTATTTTAATAGATCATTCTTCAACTAAAGGCTCATTTAGATATGACACACTAAACGGATACCAAGCTACAATTGTTAGTCGCTAGGAACTCAAGTACAGGAGAGATGCCCTTGCAAAAGACCTGAAAATAGCTGACATCAGACAACAACTGCTACATGACATGTATAGCATGAAATCATAAAGGTTTAGTATCTCAATTTCAGACATAATACACTCTAATATAGCTGCTGCATCAGATATGGTCTACTTTCTCAAAAACAAGGCAAATGAAAACCTCCCCTTTCAAACTAAGGCAGGGTATTCTACTGACACTTCTTCAGATTTACATATGCTGCCATCTGCTGCTTACAATGTCCAGATGTGTTGACAGCCACGTCCCACAATGCATCACAACTGATGGCGCATGCACAATGATGCGTGGGTACAGGGACCCAATATTGCTCTGTGTATGCCTTCACCGAAAGATGGCACAATTAAAAATACATTACAACACTGGTAGCAATGTGTGTACAATACCTTGCCTTAGAAACAGTTCATGTGTAACTTCAACAACTCATACCCCTTACGTCTTGTGTAAAGAATATCACTGGGAAGCTTAACTTGTCAGAAGCAATTTTTCATCTGCTATTAGTTTGGATAATACACTCTACAGATGATTGATACAGTAGGACTAATTAAAGGAGAGAAAATATTTGGCAGAGCAAAGACTGAAATATTACTCATAGCAGTGCAGATCTATTAATTTAGAAGAGGGCATTGAGAGATCCTGAGGGGTCATGTCTTTGGTTGCTTCAGGTGGTGGATGGATCTGAAGGGGCACCTCTCTGGCCGTTTCTATGTTCGTGGGGGCTCCTTCTGAGGGCAATTGCCCAGGCAGTGCTTCCTTTACAGTAAGGTCCGTATGAACAGGGGCCGGTGCAGCACGAATGGTCACTGGTAGCAAAACAGTAAGAGGAGCAGATGGATTCAGTGGTACATTGAGTAGAGGCTCTGAAGGAGGTGGAGACGGAGGTGGAGACGGACACTCTTCCTTGATTGGCTGCTTGTCAAGCGGGATGCAGGCTGTTCCAACCTTGTGTCTCTTAAGATGATGGCTCTGCTTAAAGGCCTTGCCGCAGACATCGCACTTGTGTGGCCTCAGCCCCAAGTGCCAGCGTTCGTGCTTCTGGCGTCCATTCTTGGAGGACAGCAGCTTGGGGCAGAACTGGCACTTGAAGCGGATGCCTTCTTGGGTCATGATGATCTCTTCCTGCCTGATTGGCCTGCTTGGGGTGACCATGACGATGTCATGCTTGGACTTCAGGTGTGCCTTCAAGTGATGCGGTTGGATGAATTTCTTGGAGCAGATGGAGCAGGAGTGTGGGCGCTCTCCCGTATGGATTCGCATGTGGATGCTCAAGTTCTGTCTTGTCTTATAATACTGTCCACAGATATGACACTGAGCTTGGTAGGCTTCAAGATCCTCATAAACATCACCTAGACTGTTTGCATTAGTCAGGTTCAAAGGGAGATCATTTCCCCCACCAGCTTCAAAGTCTTTACATTCTTGGAAATTCCCATTAACTTCACCATTTTGGTAAGACATATGGTCATTCCCATCAACAATCTCTCCGTCCTCAATTTCGGAAAACACTTCCTCCTTGATAGATATACCGTTGATACTTTCTTCATCATTTTCTAGGGCGTATCTTCCAACTGTTTCAGCTTTATCTCCTTCGTCTGTAATATTTCCTATTTCTTCTAAACACTGACCCACAACATTTTCATCTTCATCATTGTCACGACTCTTTTCGCTGGCATCCTCAGCCAGTTTCTTAGCTCTCTCTTTTGCTTTCAGTTCCTCTGTGCTAATAAGCCCTACTGCACTGCGAACATCCGTGACCTGAGGGGCTTCACTTTCTGAGGATAAAGCAGAAATGTCACTAGCAGCAAGGGCCTTCTTCTTGCGGTGGTTTTCTGCCAAAACTTGCATCATATGCCATGAGGTTAGGGGACCAATCCTTGGATTGCTGCTATCATTATAATTTCTCTTATTTTTGGTGTCAATCAACTTGATCTGGGAAACTCTACACTTTGATGACATCTGGTGTTTCTTGAGGTGTTGCAGCTGTTTGAACATATTCCCACAGTTGTCGCACTTGTGGGGTCTCAATCCTAGATGCCATCTCTCATGCTTGCGTCTTCCAGACCTGGACATCAGCACCTTGCTGCAGTAATGACACTTATACCTGATCCCTTCCTCGGTCATAACTACGATCTCCTTCTTGGCGTTTGCCTTCGGGACTGGATGATAGACTCCATGCTTGGAAAGCATATGAGCCTTTCGGTGGTGGGACTGTCGAAAGGTCAAGCTGCACAGACTACAATTGTATGGTCTCTCTCCCGTATGAATTCGCTTATGAATCATGAGGTTTCGATTGGTTTTGCAGAGTTTCCCACATTCTTGGCAGATAAATGATCTGGTATCATTCGTCTCCATATCTAGGCCAGTTAGTCTTGTCAAGTCTAAAGGTTCTTCTTCAGGCACATGCTCCAACATAGGTTGATCAAGGCACTTCGTAGACATTGGATTGTGTGAAACGCTTGATGAAAGACTTGAAGTAGGAATTGCAGCAAACTCTGGAATTGGAGCTTGACTTGCGGGTGTAGGGCTTACCAGAGGCTGGCTGTTGGAAATTCTCTGATAAATATCCTTGACAGAGTCTGAAGCTAGATTCTCTGTAACCTCTCCTTCTTCCAGTTCACCATTAAGAACCATCTGGTTACTGCTATCAGCTGTGTGAGGATGCTTAATCGGAGCATCGCTAAGTCTCAAAAGTACATTTTTTGTTCTATTTCTGTTATTTTGGCACCGCTTCGTCTTCTTATGGGCTTGGAGCTGCCATCGCTGGCGAAATGCAGCCCCGCAGAGTTCGCAAGCATGTGGTCTGATGCCAAAATGCCACATTTGATGTCTCCGTCTGTTACTCTTACAGGAAAAGATCTTTGGGCATAAAGAACACTTCCATCGCAAGCCTGAATCTGTATAAACAACTCCAGCAGCCTCTTGTCCCTGTAATGTCTCCTCTGGCCGTTGGACATGAACTGTCCCCAGGTGTTCTTTAAGGGCAGCACCTGTTGGGAAGAGCTGACGACAGTAGAAACAGTCAAACTTCTGGAGCTCGCTGTGAGAAAGCATGTGGTTATTGAGGTAAAGATCATTCCTAAACATTTTCTTGCAGTATGGGCACTTGGCATTGTCATTTCGGGGTTTCAGTACGTTCTTGTTTTGTGCGTCAGCAAGTCCTATAGACGCATCTGATCTGGCTTCATTGGTGACATCATTACCAAAATGGCCTCCTACAGGACGTACCGACTTCCATGAATCAGTTTGAAGACATTTGTGCTGTTTCTTTGCCATCTCATCTGAGAATACCCTCCCGCAGATGCTACAACATGGGTCTTTTTCTCTCACTACAAGCTGGAACTCAAGCTTTCTGCAAGAGCACACCCTTGCATTCAATCCACAGTCCTTGCATGGGGATTCTGGTGAATCCCTATTCACTGTTTCATTGCAGTCATGGCTGAACAGAAAATCTACACTATAAACACAAGCTTTGCAATCGGTGCAGCTGTAGGTACCATTAGTCACATTTTTAGTGATATTCAGATGCTTAGGAAGCCTAGCTTGATAAATCGATTGATTACCATCAATCATGCTACTACTGGAGGTTTCCGGAAGTGGCTGGTGATCCTCAAAGCCGTTGGAACTTCCAGGTCTATCTAACCTTGTTTCAAAACCAGCATATTGCCCTTCTCTTCCTTGACGTGACATCCCAATGGCAGCATCGGGTCTGGCCAAACCAACCTCTCCTGAGACACCTTGTTGAAGTAGGATGCTACTTTTGCTCTCAGGTCCTTGCTGACATGACAAGTCATGATTGCTGATGACCCTTTCTTTCAAGGAAACTTCCGTCTTCTTGTGGATCTTCTTTTTATGTGTCTTACCATCGGTTTTCTTGGCGGGAATCATCCTTTGCTGGCAGCTGGCCTTGATAAGGTGCTCATCTTTTGGATGTGACAATCGTTTGTGGTTCTCTAGGGCAGCGAGGCGCTTGAAGCACTTGCCACATGTGCTGCAGACATTGGATCTTCCTGTTGGTAGCGACATCCTCCTGAATCATAACACATCACACACTGCACATCAACTATAGTACTTTGTAGTCACCAGAAATTTAAAACCAAGTGTCAGAAACTATTCAGAAACTATGAATGTACATCATTCGTTCAAGCAATTTTTGAAGTAATAACCAAAAAATATAAAGAAATTCTTTACATTACGATTGGTTACTGATAGTATATACTATATAGTACAACATACACATGTACAGATTGGTAGTAATTTTACAATAGCTGCTCAAGATATATCTTTAATAACAATTAAAACAATCATACAAGGCAATGGAGAGGTGTTTCAGACCTTCAATAACAACGACAGAGGTAGGAAGAACAGAATACAAAGAATCAAGGTGAATATTTTTCTTGTCTTTTCTTCAGAGACTAGAAGTTCTGGAGCTTAAGTCTGACATTGATTCCTGGCACATAGCATCAGCAGTCTAGACTTCCAGGGCTCGAGTATGAAGGTCCGGTTTTACACTCCACTCTTGCATCTGAGAAGCGGCCTGTTCTGGAGGCCCTCAGGCTGGTGATGATCTGTGCAGTGAAGAAATAGGGCAAGAGAGAAAACCATAAGTGAGATAGCGAGAGAAATACTGGGGGGAGGGGGATAGAAAGGAGAGGGAGGATGGGAGGGAAATGGAAAGAGAAAACAAAAGAAAGGGAAAGAAAGATACAGCGCGAGAGAGGAAAGAGCAAGGATAGATCATATACGCCCACTTCATCATTAGCAAGACATTAATTTAAATTTCCCACTCTCCACCGTGTTAAATGGTAGAATTCATTTCATGCTGTGAGCACAATAATAGTTAGCCCAGCTAGCAATAGAGCTCCTTGCATGATGTCATTAGTGCCATAAAACCACCAATATTATTATCATAGTATATTTCTTCTTTTTCTGTTTTCAAAATAAATTACAACTTTTTTTACGAAGCCTACATGTACATGCAAGTGTAATTCATAAAACCCTAATTGTTCTTACCTGCTACTCTGTCTGGTGAGTCTATAATCACATGACTAGCTTGCATCTCTTGGACCGTAGCATGCAAACATCATAGTTGTGGAGTAACCCTGGAAGATGATGAATCAGAAAGATCATTTTATAACGGTCTTATCAAAAAAACGAAATAACACATTTATACGTTGTTTTTCAGCTAAATCGAATGCCGATGTTGCATTTTCTTATTGCTTATATTACGCACAACCAGCCGGCCCATGTAGTGTTATTTTTAATTAATAATTAATTAACGGTCACCATATTTTTTTTTTAAGTGGCGCTGAATTGGTATGCTCGTGTTGGCTAAATTTCACACATTTTGGGGTCTAAAATTACCTTCATAGCAATTTTAGGTTCTAAAAGGGCACTAGAAAATAAGAATAAGAGCAATAACCATGCACTTCGAAGGCATTTGCGGTCTGAAAACAGAACTCAACTATCCCTTTAAAGGCAGTGTAGCTTGGCAAATACTGGTTAACGGCATCTACATGTACGTCTTCTTTCGGACAACTGCACGTAAACGAATTGATAAACGGTGGTCAGGGACTGAATCTCTATAGGGTCAGCATTCGCAAAACAGACCAAAGTTCTCCTTATGCCTGGGTTTCGCGTATGTTGCACGCACGTGATTACTGCGGTCGCCTTGTCCGTAGTCGTACTATGCCCAGTGCTCAGTCTACACTCCCTTTAAAGTTTACAAAAATTGTCTGGTGACGGAGTTAAAGAGGTCTTCAATGATGTAGATATCAAAATGATTTTAAGGGTTGCAAATTTTTCTGAACATGTATGGCTGTCCCTCTAGACAGAAAATGTTGGAAAATAATTAAATTGTTAATTACCGTTTCATAGAAAAATTAGAAGGGGAAACTTCCCCCTGAAACTTTAAAGACAATCCTAAATATATCATTTAAAGCCTATCTGCACTAGTTCTCCAAGGGAAACAAAAAATGTGGTCTTTGTACAGTTTGCATGTATACAGGTGGTCACTGCAGATTAATTGACTGTATATTAATGATGTCTCTAAGCGCTTTACAGATATATTATAATTAATGTATATAAATATCATTACCATCTAAACCACCTTTCATTATTTGTATTCATCATTATCATTGTTTACTACTATTTAATATTAATAAATTATTGTTATCACTAATAAATAGAAAATCTGTTTGATAGATGGAAGCTACCAAAAAAATTGAAAAATAAATAAGGTGATTGAGATATGAAATTCCTGTAAATCACCCATTTCATTGTGAGGATCTCTACATCGTATACTTTTAGAGGGAAATTATACACTTCAAGGACTTTTTACTTTAATTCTAAGACCCTTTAATATTTATTAACTTATTCATACGTAGATCTATATTATATATATAGTCTCATAATTGGCGCTAGTTCAGAAGTCTATCCAAAATTTGTCCTGTTACTCCGGCGTGGAGGTGTTTGTTACATGTTTTGTGTAAATTTTCTTATCTTTTTCGGAGGATTTTTCCTAAAGACGAAGACTTATAATATGCACTTTCTCACGGGATTCACGGCAAACTACAGCACAATACAATTGCATATCGTACCGACGGTGGGGTGCGGGCGCGCGTGTTAGTTCAGTTAGCGACCGTTAACTAAGATTAAAGTCGCTAACTTAACACTAGCGAGCGCGCCCACACCCCACCGTCGGTATGGTATGTATATTGTGCTGCAGTTTGCAGTGAATCCCGTGAGACAGTGCATATTGTATGTCTTTAATTTTAGGAAAAATACTCCGAAAAAGATAAGAAAATTGACACAAAACAGGCAACAAACATATCAAATTTTAAATCATGACCTTTATTTGGACATTTGATGAATATTCATTTTGGGTAGCTATGTTTTAATATATCTCCACGCCGGAGTTACGAGTCAAATTTTGGATAGACTTCTGAACTAGCGTCTTATAATCTTATATAGGCTATAGCCTATGGAAATAAAAGGCTATATGGAAAAAAAAGTGAACAACGTATAAAGTCTCCAGGGCAGCGTCTCACGAAACCATCATAAGTACTAGATGTCGGTGGATCCACCAACGTCCCATTTAAATGTGTGTATTCACGTTTCAATGGGATGACGATTGTTGAACTTGTACTTATGACGGTTTCGTGAGGAGCGCTGCCCAAGTCTCCATGTCATCAATCCTTTACTTACAACTGGAAAGTGGAAACCCACATGCCAGATCAGTGATTGATGTTAAAATGTAGTACCAAACGGATGTCAATTTAAGCACTGCTGTAGCTACAGATATATACAGCAATCCCATGTTCTAGATATAATGACCACCAAGCACATGATGCTAGGCTATAGGCCTAGCCCAGCTACCATGCTCTTCAGCCTATCAATATCATGCATCATGCAAGCACTGATGCTAGGCCTACCATGCTCTTCGGCCTATTCTCTCAATTATTGAATACATGTCAAGGAGACTAAAGGCAGAGGGGGTATACATCGAGATCTATGCCCTTTTGTTTGCAATAGTTCTTGCTCCCCAACTTTGCCATTGTACTTTAGTGCGTCTATTGTTGACTTGTGCATCCACCCGTGCCCCGTGTGTGTAGATAACTAGCACTCCGCACCGAATTCCCCCCACACGCCGAAACTCGTGGCTTGAAGGCCCGCGCAAAGCACCGCATGCCTGTCTCTTTACATCACCACCACTACCACCACCACCACCGGCACGATGCACAATGTGTATAATATACAGGGGGGACCCTGCCATGCGTGCAAATTGGATGATCGAGACTCCGTGAGCAACGGAGCACCGTAACATAACTCTACCACGTCTTAAAACTAAACATTAACAGCAACAACGAAATCATACAGTTACTACCAAACATCAAATTCATCATACTGATGGCAAGAATTTTGACGATCAATGCTCATTTTAAGTGATTTCGGGAGTAAACTTACCACCGAGTTTTGGATGGCATGCGTCTCTGATCGATCGGGGTACCGGATACCTTGTTGATTCATGCATAACTAATGAGATGCATTTATAACCCGGAAATGCAACACCTGCAGAAGGGGGGGGGGGGGGGGGGGGATACAGAATTGACCACCATCACTTCGATCAGAATTAATTTCAATTGAACCGTAAATAGTGTTAGCAGTCATAGCAGTGGGGGGGGGGGAGGAGGGACAAGTGCCCCACACTCTTTGAAGTACTCCCAAAAGTGCCCCTTTAAAATAGGAAAAAGTGCCCCTATTTTTTTTAAGTGCCCCTTTCCCTTATCAACTCTGATAAGTGCCCATTTTATTTTGTCACATACCGCTTTTCCTTCACAAGTTCCCATTTTCCTGTGCAATAACTGTCCATTTTCCATTCTCATAAATGACCTTTTTAACTCTAGCTAGTATAAGTGCCCCTTTTCATGTCGACAAGAGCCCCCTTTTCTTCGTAAGAAGTAAGCGGACATTTTTTTTTTGGGGGGGGGGGTCTCTAAATTTGAAAATTTGACATTATGTTCCGTTGGGGGGGGTAAGGTCACCTTTTTAGGTCAGCCATTGGCATAATTTTTTTTTATTTTTATTTTTTTTAATTTTTTTATAAAAAATATAAAAAAAACCCAAGGGGGGTTTAACCCCCCCCCCCCCCTGCGTACGCGCCTGCATATGGTCAGTGTCCCTTTTCAGATGCGATAAGTGCCCCTTTTCACCTTAGATGATTATTCTTTTTTTACAATGATACGTGCCCCTTTTCCTTTCTAATTATAAGGAACCAATCCCCCTTTCACTTCTCATAAATGCCTATATCAAAATCTGATGGGTGCCCCATTTCCGTTGACAAATTTTCATTCCTGGCGAGTGACTGTTTTTGAGGTGTAAAGTGCCTCATTTTTACATCTGACGATTACCCTTTTTACTTTGGCACGCGTGCTCCTTTTCTTTTCAAATAAGTGTCTTATCCCTTTCAATAAGTGCCCCTTTTCCCTCTCATCATTAACCGTGCCCCTAATTTCAAGCGACAAAGAGCTATGCTCGCTCGCATTCATAGACGTTATAAATAATGATGCTACTTATCAAAAGTCTTTTCAGTCTTCCGTAATGAGAATGTGTTTATAACCCCATCAGGATAGTATTTTTTTAACTCTGCGACCATACAAATCTTACATTTTTTCCTTGCTCGGTTTGATTCGCTCGATTGCAACTTAATTTTGAGACCATCACACCAAACTGCAAAGTATGATGCTTAGGCCTAACAAAAATAAATGTTGTATTGCCCTATGCGACCGACCCCAAAATCATATACGGTCGGCATTAAAAAAAAATGTTTAATGAATTTTAAAAAATAGCATTCAAAACTGAGAAATATCATTCCAAAGAGCGACCCCAAAAAAAAGGATTACAAAAAAAAGAGAGATTCTGACCGAGATTTTGGCACCTAAAGGGCAATACAACATCTTTTTTTAAAGGCTTAATATATAAGCAATATATCTTATGATGTAAAAAGCGAAACAAAGCATCCCCTGATAATGCAATTACTATGTAGGGACGTATTGCTCATTTTGCTAGCTCGCAAATTAATTTTCCGACCATCACACACAACTGCAAAGTATGATGCTTGCAGCTTAAAGGTACTATGTCCCATTTGCAGGCCAAAAAAATGAAAAAGTTAAATTCCAACTGCATTTGAAAGACAATACTAATTTAGAACTTCCCTAAAAAAGGTTGGGCTTGAAAATGTCTTCAAGTGGGAAAATAACGACCATTTGTTGTCAAATCGACTTTAGGGCTATAGAGCCCAAAAGTAATAGTCTTGATTTTCAGACAATTGTACCGAATGGGTTCCGTTTTGCCCCAATTGAAAATAACATATCTTGTTTTCGCCCTTTTTATAGGGGCCTGTTTACCAATGTTTCATGTTCCATTCTGAAAGTACAGTTGGCAGGCGCGGATCCAGGATTTCTTAGGGGAGGGGGCCCAACTTTTTTTTTTTTGCTCCCGAAAATTTGAAAATCGCGCCGGCCGAAAAGTCGCTCAGTGGGGGGGGGAGGTACAGAGCACATTTTTTTTTTTTTTTTTTTTTTTTTTTTTTTTTTTTTTTGCTCCGAAAATTTGAAAAACGCGCCGGCCAAAACTTCGCTCAGTGGGGGGGGGGGGGGGGGGGGGGGGGGGGGGGGGGGGGGGGGGGGGGGGGGGGGGGGTAGTGAGCACATTTTTTTTTTTTTTATCCTCAAAAAAATTTCAATTTCCACCCCCCCCCCCCCTTGAGCGCCAGGGGGGGGGGCCCAACCCCCAAAAAAGGTAAAAATCACGTGATTTTACATGATTTTTTTTCTCAAGGGGGGGGGGCCCGGGCCCCCCGGGCCCCCCGGGCCCCTCCTGGATCCGCCACTGACAGTTGGTTCATAAAACAATCGATAGTTGTTCTAGTTTCCCAGCCAGTTTTAGATGTAGTGAGCACATTTTTGTTTTTTTGATCCTCAAAAAAATTTCAATTTCCACCCCCCCCCCCCCCCTTGAGCGCCAGGGGGGGGGGCCCAACCCCCAAAAAAGGTAAAAATCACGTGATTTTACATGATTTTTTTCTCAAGGGGGGGGGGCCGGGCCCCCGGGCCCCCGGGCCCCTCCTGGATCCGCCACTGACAGTTGGTTCATAAAACAATCGATAGTTGTTCTAGTTTCCCAGCCAGTTTTAGATGTATAAGTTAGCTGAGTTCAAAGTATGTGCCTAGCAGTTGGTTTACGTGACTAGTGGTTGTATCAGAACGAAAATGTGACCCAGATTACAGTCTAAGAAATTTAGAGTGTAGTGCACATAGTGAGTGAGGTAGTGAGCACATTTTTTTTTTTTTTGATCCTCAAAAAAATTTCAATTTGCACCCCTCCCCCCCCCTTGAGCGCCAGGGGGGGGGGGGGGGCCCAACCCCCAAAAAGGTAAAAATCACGTGATTTTACATGATTTTTTTTCTCAAGGGGGGGGGGGGGGGCCGGGCCCCCCGGGCAGGCGCGTAGCCAGAGTTTGATGTTTGGGGGGGCACATACATGTAATCGATCGAGGTAAAAAAAAAGGGGTCTACAAAATTTCAACCGATCCTGGAAATTTTAGGGGGGGGCACGTGACCCCCCGTGCCCCCCCCCCCGTGGCTACGCGCCTGCCCCCGGGCCCCCCCCCCCCCCCTGGATCCGCCACTGACAGTTGGTTCATAAAACAATCGATAGTTGTTCTAGTTTCCCAGCCAGTTTTAGATGTATAAGTTAGCTGAGTTCAAAGTATGTGCCTAGCAGTTGGTTTACGTGACTAGTGGTTGTATCAGAACGAAAATGTGACCCAGATTACAGTCTAAGAAATTTAGAGTGTAGTGCACATTTTACAAGTCTACATTTTCTACTTTTAAACCAGGCTTTATTACGATTACCTTTCCAGTTTTGCTCCATAAATGTTTGAAACTACGTACTATAGGCTTTCATTATGCAGCTCTGCCCACCAAGTATGCTTAAAGTTACTTTAGGTACATTACTCAATATATAACGTTAGAGTTCCATTTTGCCCCAGGGGGGAGTGCCATTATGCCCCAGGGGTGGGGCAAGTTGGATTTTTCATTTGTAAAATTCGTTTCGAGTTTATCTGCAATTTTACCGTGGTTTTTGTCGGGTTTTCGTTGACATAATAAAGTGCATACAACATCTATCTGAAACTGTTATTTTTACTGTTTTTGTGTCGTTGATGACGTCATAATGGAAGTTTGAAATTAAGTGTTCCATTATGCCCCACTTTCCCCTACCTTTAAGCAATATCTCATGATGTATGAAGCAAAACAAATATTGAAATCATCCCTGATAATATAACTACAAATATAGGGTATATACCGAAGTCGAAACTATTGTTTTCGCTTTGAGATTTCCCTTTGTTGGTGCCCTTTTTTCTCCAGAAAGTGCCCTTTTTTGTTGATGCCCCTCTCCCACTTTGGAAGTCGCACCGCCGCCCGTGGGGCCTCGAGCATCCGAGATTTTCATTCAATTAAAAGATGGGCTTACATGGGCAAGTGAAATAAAAGAGATATGAAACAACATATACATGTATATGAAACAAAGGAGGGAGGGGGGCAATGCATATATATATATTTAGTTATCTATTTTATCCTGAAAATGCGTTAATTGAGCTCTCGATCTCTCTCTCTCGCTTGATTTTTTCTTTCTCTCCCCGTTTCTTTCTTCACACATCTCTATCCCTTTAAAAAGAAAATTAGGAAAAAGAAAGAAAGGACAAACAGAATATGAAAGTATGTGTGTACCATGGTGACCAGATATGAAATTAAAATATGTGACGGGTTTTTTTTGCGTTGCATTCAAAGAACGGGGAAAACTAGTCAAGTTAATATAGTAACCTACGAGTGGATGAGCAAAGGCAGCAACCAAGCATTTTTCTGGGAGAATTAATCATTCATTAGAATGAACAGTGGGGGCGCGCGGAATCAGCCTGTGACTTAATGCAAATCGTATAGATGTCCATTCCAGAGTCGAAACACAGGAAATGGGACACCGTCGCATGCTCAACTGTGTACTGAATATGCCACAACATTCTTTGATTTTAATTGGTTTAATTCAATTGATATTTAAATTAAAATTTAAATTGACAATGTTTTACCGTATTGCTAAGACTGCATAACCTAGCTCAGGCGCGGATCCAGGATTTCTTAGGGGAGGGGGCCCAACTTTTTTTTTTTTTGCTCCCGAAAATTTGAAAAACGCGCCGGCCAAAAATTCGCTCAGTGGGGGGGGGGGGGGGGGGGGGGGGGGGGGGGGGGGGGGGGGGGGGTAGTGAGCACATTTTTTTTTTTTTGATCCTCAAAAAAAATTTCAATTTGTACCCCCCCCCCCTTGAGCGCCAGGGGGGGGGGGGCCCAACCCCCCAAAAAGGTAAAAATCACGTGATTTTACATGATTTTTTTCTCAAGGGGGGGGGGGGGGTTCTAAGCTAGGCCAGTGGCGGATCCAGGGGGGGGGGCGGGGGGGCCCCGGCCCCCCCCCCCCCCTTGAGAAAAAAATGATCTCTGCCATCGCCGCGAAAATGTGCATGCATGTCAAGTCAAGCGTATAAAATAGTATGGTAATTTCATTTTTTTAGAAAAATATACTCATTTGCATATTAAAAATTACCATAAATTTTATGGTAATATATGCAATTAAGGTCATAAAATTCACATTTCTACCCATAAAACGTATATTTTGTTTATATCTAGACATTCATTTTCACCACTATCTTTAGACCATTGGAATAATGATACCCCCACCCCCCCCCCAAAAAAAAAAAAAAAAATAAAAATAAATAAATAAAAAATAAATAAATGAAAGAAAAAAAATCAGAGCAAGGTTATTCCTTACGTTATCTATTGTTTTGATAATTTCTTATGTATTTCTTTGTTTTTTTAAAACTTATAACATATATATCTTGTCAATTAAATTGAACAAATCTTTGTTCATTATTTGGTTTAAAAATGTGAAATCAAATTTCTTGTCTGTTGGCATTATTTTCATTTGCAAAACAGTCCTGGGGGTGTTTCACAAAGATCCTAAGTAGAACTTAACTCTATGTTGGACTTAAAAATTATGGACAGCCATTGGAGTCTTAAAATGAAATATATTCAAAAGCAGAAATTCAAGTATTTTAGACTTTTTATAAATTCCACATCCAGAACATGAAATCTCCTTGATGATAGAAAATATGAATGATTTGAATAAACAATTAATGCCTTTCAAAATAACTTTTACAAAATATTTTCAAAGATGCTAATGGCTTTCCATAATTTTTAAGTCCAACTTAGAGATAAGTTCAACTAAGGATCTTTGTGAAACACCCCCCAGATGTAATTCACTACCCCTTATAAGCTAAATAATAGTAAAAATAAACTCTCACTCGCGCACATACCAAATAATAAACAAAGATTTGTTCATTTTGAAAAGATATACTGTATTATTTATTTTATTTTATTTGTTTAAATTTCATGTTTAACTATAATTCAACTATTTTGACCCCCAAAACAAACACCTAATCTACAAGCAAGACCCCAAAACCAATGTTTTATCTCTTTTTTGGAAAAATGATATATCCATGTTTTGTATACAAATCAAGAAAATTAGCGATTTTAGGGCAGGCAAGAGATCATGTGACTTTGTATCAGTAAGTCAGATTTTCTAAAAATTTGTTTCAGAAGATGCGCAAGACTCAAAAGAAAAGTCATAAAATTTCAGCTCAAGATTCTTTTGCATTAAAAAATTATCACAAAAAATGTAGAGGAGGGGGGGGGGGGGGGCCAGGCTATATAGGGTTAAAATTTACGCAAATGTTTTAAACATTGAGATTACTTTGTAATTGGGGAATGTGCAGATGAACGTTTGGTTACCAAACTTATGTTTACCGGTACTCAAAGTTATAAAGAAGGGCCCTCACTCAAAAAAGGTCAATGAACACAGTGTGACATAACAGTTTAAATTAGTCATTGGGTCAATTTATTTCAATTGACAAAACAACATTTACAAAGTGAAGTTTGGGAATATAAATAAGAAAATAAAGTGTTTTTCAGAAGCTATGTAATAAGAAGAGGACGGAAGTGTTAATTAACAGTATAAATATCCATATCATATGAGAAATCGTAATACAGAAAAACCACTTCTTGTGCAAAGAAAGTGAATAGTTCTTGAATGCAATTAACACAAAGGTAGACCAACATTCATTCAAAAATAAAAAACGATAATAATTATTTTGCAGGTCACTTGTATTTCGTAATAAACACAATGGTACTATCCAAAAGACTTCCATACCATTTCAATGAATTATTGGCATTAAATCATAATACACAGTATTGGTATAGTTTGAAGTTTAACCATACTTTTTTAAAACTTGTTGACAAAAAATTATCATGATCTTACTCAAACAACACCACTGAATTTTATATTCTACAGCCTTGGTCTTACAACAAATATTTCTGATGATGGGGACACAATAGCTGAAACAAGAGAATGCATTCTGTCATGTGTAAGATTTGCAAAGGTTTGTCAAATTTTGTTTCTTATATATTTGTAAAACTGCAAAAGAAAAAGAAAATCAAACATAAATAAATAAATAAAATAAAATAAAATCAAACAGAAGAAATAATATCTTCCTATTTCAGACAATGCACAGCAATCAACCTCTCCAAGTTATGAAAGACAAAATATAATCAATATTATTAGTACTTTGAAGAAAAAAATACAGTATATATCATAATCAATAATCAATAGAAATCAGAAAATGCAATGATATGATGGAACTGATTTTTAAAATCTTTTTTGTGTTACACTGTAGATGTTTAAAGGCACAAGATCAATATACAATTCAATTCCAATATATGTTTTGTAATGGGAATGTTCTAAATGAAAGCACATACATGTATATCAGATTTGGTACAGTTGCCACTCTCCACCCAGGTGATGCAAATGGTCACCCTGTAGATAGAAATTCCTTGAAAGCTTGTCATAATACAATTTGTATTTAAGCGCAGTAGACTATATATATACCTTGTATGTAAAGTAGCTGTGCTATAAATGGACATACATTTGTATTATTATCATTATAACATTGCATCATTACAGATTTAAAGAGAAAGCTGGTAGAAATTAAGAACAGCTCTAGTTATAAAAACACGCTAGAACAAATCTTGATGAATACATTCATATCTGAAAACAGAGACAAGGAACACAATTTATTTGTAGATTAATGCTGATATCTAGGTATGCTAATGCTGTTGTTTGGAGGAGGTCCATCCAGTTCGATGCTGCACACATGTGCATGTTTGTGATAAATTTGATTCAGCTATTATAAACCTGGGCCCTGTTGCACAAAAACTTACCATTGATGGTAACTTTGCCATCAATGGTAACTACCATGGAAACCTTGATTTTGATTGGCTGTTGAGCCCTGTTACCATGGTAGTTGCCATTGATGGCAAAGTTACCATCAATGGTAAGTTTTATGCAAAGGGGCCTAGATGTCCAGCTGTGTGAGGCGCTTAATTCCTAGCATCCGGGTCCTTTGCAACAACCCTTTTCACAAAATAATAATAATAACAACAATAATAATGTTAAGATAATAATCTCTCTTGTAAAACCAGGAACTTAGTGAATCATAAATGACAGTGATGCTAAATTTATTTGTGAGTGATTTAGAGTTTGTGTGGTGTTAGCAGTGTTTCTAATAATTTCATGGCATGAAACTTTCGCGAAATCTTTTAAACACGCTCAAAAAAACGTTTAGTATACAAATAATGAATGGTTATAAGTTCAATAGTGCGAATATTTTTGTGAGTTGAAAGATTAACATTCTATTCAACGAGGCGTCAGCCGAGTTGAATAGAATTAACGTTAATTTTTCAACGAATTGAACGAATGAAAAAACATTCATTATTTGTTTTATACAACATCAAAGAAGATCTAAAAGAACGTTAATAAACAAATTATGCTTTACTCCTTATATTAAAGATAAATTAAAGTTGGAGTCAAGCCTACATTCAGATTGCCTTCGCATCAGATACATGCAGGGATACGCGCACGGCAGAGAGGTACGCAGTCTGCATATAACCAAAACTGCACGGCGCATATAACCAAAAATGCAATATAACATCTATTGAATATCATGTGACCAGCAATCTTCCAATCAAATGACAAGGATCCATGTAGGTGTTGTATAAACTGCCTTAATTCACACATCAGGTGGTTCCTAATTTAGATAATGATAGATAAGGAATCAATTATACAGAGTCCCCCCCCCCCCCCCCCTCTCATAGTCCCATTTGCACTCTCCAGATTGCTTAATTTGTGATGAAGCTTATTGGCCCAAATTCACAAAGGAGGTTTAAATTTAGCCCATGGTTAAAACCCTCATTCACATAACCCATAGTGTAAAATTAGTGCAAATTAAGCTCGGCACAGTCAGAGGTCCAATATCAGACGCGCGCAAGGCAAGGTACGCTTAATTTGCGCTAATTTTAAACCATGGGTTATGTAAATGAGGGTTTAAACCATGGGTTAAATTTAAACCTTGTTTGTGATGAGGCTCAATGAGTTAATAGTTGCACAGCCTCTGTCCACACCCATGGTGCACTCCCTGGTTGCCTAGCAACAACTCCATCAAACAACTGTGGAGCTGCCGTCTCCAGTCTCATCCAAGTCTCCACAGTTAGTGATAAAGTTGACCCAGTTTGTCACAGCGCCCTTATCCAGCATCATGAGGCGCTCTCTACCGCCGGGCTGCCTGGTGACAAGCCTCCTCTCCCTGTAGGTCCAGTTGTGTGTGATGAGGTGGAACTGCTGGAGGAGGAGCGCTAGGACGGCAGGACACACCAGCAGGGCATACAGGATGGATACAAAGATGATGGAAAGCCTGGTGCATCATGAAAAAAGAGGAAAATAAAGGATATTCAAGGAAAATATGCAAACATTTTCAATGGTAGATCAGATTAAACTTAGCAAATTTTGTGAACTTTTGGGGAATATAAGTTTCAGCCAAAATGCTCAATGGTTTGTATAAGAGAGTGAACTGTAACAACACACCCCTTCTAAAACAATCAACGTTAGCATTTTCTTAACAATTACAAAAATTATTATCATCCTATATTTTTATACTGTTTTTACCTAGATAAGAAACGTGAATTATCTTGATCAATAAGTACCAAAGTGGAGCATTTTTGCATCATAAACATATCAAAGAACAAGACAAAATTATTCAGATTTTATACATACTCATTAGAGATAATTTAGTCTTATGAACCTAAAATCTTGCTGAAGACAAACATATGGTCACAGTCTATTGATGCTGTTTCAGATTCAGCCTCACCCTTTTGCAAGAAAGACATACTCTAGCGCTGTCCAGAAACTCTCTTCATACTGTGTGGCTACAAGGAGAGTGTATGTTCCTCTACCTGCACCCCAGCAACCCCAACAAAGAAAAGGAGAAGGGCAACGATGAAGGACCGGTGGTTGTCTCTACCAATGCAGCAGTCGAGCCTGAGATAAGTATAAAGGAGATCATGGTACAGATCAACATATTACCGGTACAACAAAAAAACAAAAATTGACAGAGATATTTCACAAACACATGAGCAATATATTGCTGACTCAAATAAATAACACATAATTGACTCTTTATTTAGCTTCTTTTTTGGGGGGGGGGGGGGAGGGAGGTTATTTTTCCCTATCTTTCTTACCTTCCATTTACAACACATCCATCATCTAGTTTTTCCTTCTTAATTTACATAGCTGATTTTAAAGTTCTATTATGTCACAAATAATTAGAAGCCAAATTCAACTTGGAGGAAAAAAAAACTCTCCCCACCCTCCTTGTTCCACCCCCCCCCCAAATGCTTCTGTTATAGGCCTCACTATTCTATGTTTAAGCTGAGTTCATGATTGGTGTGATTGATCATAATATCTGATAGAAAAGGGTGTTGAACAATCAGAGAAACTCCTTCTTACCAAACACAGTGATGGTCCAACCGATGCACACAGCGATCACAAATCCTACAATGCCCCGCCCTAGCTGGCTTTACCATCTGACAAGCATTACACCAATCAGTGGGTATAGATCCCTCCGTTTCATTGGTCCTTTGCTGCTCATTCTCCTGACTCTGTCCAATCAAAGGGCCTCTTTCAAGACTTGAATCAGACTCCTCTGATTCATAAAGTGAATTGGAGGAACCATTGTTCCTCTTGTGAAGATGTGTGATGTCAGCAAATCTTTGACCTCCACTCTCAGACCCGTCTCTTGGTCTTGTTGATGATTCTGATGAAGTCGGATTGCAATCTACAAACCCTGCTGCACGTTTTGTCATCGCGAACGCTCCGAAAAAAAGCAGCAAGTTGATGGAAATAGCGGCATGCTCCACAGCCGAGACATCACCAATGGGGACAGCATACAGGGAGAAGACGTAGTACATGGAGAATATGGAAACTAACGTTACACTCATGAAGAACTGTGTCCTCCGTTTATGCTTGAGAACACGGAGGTAGTAGACTACTGCACCCAGTGGGATGATGAACGAGAAGGCGGTGAGGAGGACATGAAAAGAGGCTATGTAGAGCCAGAAGGGTATCACGAAGAGAGGTGGGAGTGCCGTTGTGTCGACAAGTTCATCAATACGTCTTGCGCCCTGGCCAAGGAATGTTGGGATCCGTACACGGTCAAGGATGGTTTCTTTGACGGCTGCTACCCTGTCTCTGCCAACATCCCTTCCTGTGAAAAACCTGTCAATTAAAGTGGGCAGAAAACCAGAAACAAAACATAAATGCAGATAATTTAAATAAATTCACTCTATACACATGTCCTCATTAAAAAAAATTCAAATAAAAAAAAGTTAAGACTACCCCGGTATTAACAACATTTTCATGGAAATGTCTCAGCCTCAGACTCACTCCTTTCTATCAATTTATGAATCAATCACTGTGAAAAAAAGGACCAAAAAAGTACATTTTCTTCGATCAAACCAAAGAATTCTTAATATCACACCATTTTCTTTCTAAAATATTCTAGATCTAGACTAATTTCTAGATATATTAGTAGGGGTCTACTACTAGTCTAGTCATGTCTCATGACGGACCATCGACCTCACAATGTCAATGATTCAACTTTAATCTAGAGTCTACATGGTTTTGTTCCTTTAATATCCTCTCATTCGGGTAGGGTTGGATCCTCTCTCTCTTTAGTAATTTAGAGACAAAACAAAAGTAACTAACAAGTACGAAAATACACCAACAACATGGTGGCCTGTACTTCAACAGAAGAAGAAGAAGAAGTAACAAACCATTTGCAAACGTCACTGAATTGCATTTTTTCTGAATTGTTAAAATGAAATAATTAACTAACTCTCAAGTAATGTTATATGTAAATAGATAAAAACAACAGCATATATTTATTTTTAAGTGTTCGAAAGAAAATATCTGCTGGAAACTTGTACTTTTTCTTCAACTTTGATCTTTCGGTCTTCAAAAATGATACAACGCAATATCCTACGAATGGGACTGAAATGAAAAATAGTTGGACCCGTACCTGTCGCAAGACTCGTCCAAATCCTCGCAATCACAACACACAGCCAGTAAATGGCTTCTTTCTCCGTTTCCGTTGATAAATTCACAACAGCAGAGAGGGTCTCCTGTTTCATCTTTCATCTTGGAAATTTGTTATTTTTAGTTTGACAAGACAAATGTAAATTTGATAAATTAGTGTTCCAAGTTACTATGTCTAAGGTCTCTCAGAAATAGCAAATAAAAATTGAGAACATAACATATGATTGCATGGCCTTCAGTGTTTATTCTAAAAACAAACACATTGAAAAAAACCCTATGAATATACTAATTAATATCCCTTTTCTTCTTCTATGTAACTGTTCTGCGTTTGTTGTATATATATATATATATATATATATATGCCATTTTTTTTTGGGGGGGGGGGGGGGAGGGGGTGTGTGTGTATGATTTTTATTGTCTAATCATCGCTTGCTGATTAATTTCATTCATATTTCATTTATTTCTTTATGTTTGTACAGGGCCCCTCCTAATATAATAAGCTTTGCTTTCTTAAGCGTCCTTCCCAAAAAATGTATCTGTTATATATGTATTCATTATGTAATTAAATTGTTATTTAATTGAATTACTCGAAGAATGACAGAGTAAATTCCATTTTAAAAAAAACTTGTTTGGAAATACTTTCACTTGCCTTTAGTGGCGAATCCCTGAAACTCTAAAGTGCCCCACTATTGTCTTACAAAATAAAAAGAAATAGCTTTTTTATTTTTAGGGGGGGGGGGGGGGGGTGGGGTGGTACACACTGTGTCTGGCCATGCTGTTTATTCTTTTTAAACATGTAATATTTTTGTCTAATTAGGTCATGATGTGAAAGTTGCATCAATAACCGACTTTTTATTTTATTTTTAAAGTACATGTAATTTGAATTCAATCTAGCAGCTATTCTCTCCCCCCCCCCCCCTTCTCTCTCTTTCTTTCTCAGTCTGTTCATGCAGATCTGTAGAAATGACTACGGTACTCAATTTTTGTTTTGATCGTTTGACAAATCTTCAAATGAACAGAATACAATATTGCACAAGTAAACAGTTTATTGTTCAAAAACACTATCAACCTTTTAATTTTCCTCAGAATATGAATAAATATGATCATAACTTGTTTGAATATATATTCCTATTTGAAGAAGTACACACAAAATTACAAATTCAAACAAACAAAAAGTAAAAAGAAAAAAAACATTTACACCAGGGATCTGTTAAAAAACAAAACAAAAAAAACAACAAGAAAAAGTGGAGAGATTCTGAACATACACAGTAAATCCAAATAAATTGAAATAGACGGTATTTACAGGACTGCGGTTTTACCACCCACTAACATATCAAATTTGAGTTATTTTCTCATCTTGGCAATGCAGATAAGTAATATGAAAATTAGTATCTACTAAACTTAAAAAGTACTTTTATTTGCATTGACAACTGATATAAAAATTTGTAACAAACAAGGAAACAAACAATGGGAATAACTCCTTGTTTCCTGATATATCATGATATCAACAGATACAAAAATGCACTTCAAAAAAATAAATAATAAATCACAAATGAACACTTATGATATCATTATTTTATCAGGTTTTGAGGAAGCGCTAAATAGAAAAACTAGGAATACAAAAATAAAGCTGAAATTCACTTCAACTTTCAAAATTCATCAAAGATACTTACAAGACATGAATTTTTTTTAAATAGTCTGTCGAAAAACAAACAACTAGATTTGGCAATTTTTTAGAATGACTACGATTGAATACAAGCTAAAGTAAAGAATCAATTTCAAGGATGTTGGATTCTAAGGGTTTTCAAATATCAGATTGACTGAGCTATATGTGTACAAGTTACAGCATTTAAATATTTGTGCATGCCTTCTCCCTGCCACTTTGTGCCCCAAATTCTGAAATGATCCGTGATTTTTGGTTTTCAACATTAGAGAAAAGTAAGGTATCATCTTATGCCCAATACATAGAAAACATCATTGGTAATGCTGCAACATAAATAATTTGGGAATTGCACGATTTCCCAAAGGGCAATAATAATAATAGCAGTAGAAATAACAACTATAATAATGATAAGATAATAATCTCTCTAGTAAACCAGAAACTAAGTGACAGCGATGCTAAATTTATTTGTGAGTGATTTGTCAGAGTTTGTGTGGTGTTAGCGGTGATTCAATTTATTTCAGGGCATGAAACTTTTGCGAAATCATTTAAACACACAAAAAAAACGTTAAGGCGATGTAAAATGGTAGTGATCGCCTTAATACACGTATCAGGTGGGCCCAAATTCAGATAATGATTTAAATAAGGAAACAATTACGCAGACAAAAAAAATGCCTCTACTGCAGCAACAGACTGATACTGAATCCTAGTCTGGTAGGAATGTTTTGAAAATGAAACATTTTCAAATATAAGCAAAGACACCAAGGAATATGTACAGGTACTATTATAACAATTTAAAAAAAAATCAAATTCATGAGTTACCTTTACCTTTTCACTCTGAGTTTCCCTTAGCCAAAAATAAATATACAGGGAGTTGAAATATATTTCTTTTAACACAATCAATCTAAATTTTATTTCTTATCTAACTACAGCAATCAAATAACTATTCAGAAAGGTAATTGACCTTATCACTATGCTTCAGAATGACCAAACAAACACAAATCACTTCAACCAAGTTCTCTAAACAATATTCGTTCAGTGTGAGAACAATTTTTTTGTTAAAGAATGACCAAAAAAAAATATGACAATAGTAAGGCGGAGTGCTAAAAAATACCATCAGAATTAATGTGAAATAAATTGCTTCAATTGGAACATTATAACACCTCGTTTTTTTTCAGCAAAAATGACTTTCAAAAATTAATCTTGCCTCATGCAAAAGATGACGCATGTACTGTAAGAAGTGTACAAGTGATATCACAAGTAAGAACGCAGGTAGGTGACTATTCCTTTGCTAAAGATATAATTTATCGGTCCATTGTGTACGATAAAATCTCCCATTCTGATCTAACCAAATCTAATAGGGAACATAAAGATGTGTGGAGCATAAAATCATGTCTAGTAAAACTGTATGTAATGTCTTGTAACGTAAAACCTGTTTTGTAACCTGTAAAGTAACGTGTAATGTAACATGAAACCTGTGCTGCTTTAATTACCGGTATGCTTCTAAGAGTTTTCTGTTTGAGGGTTACAATTGCAAACAACTTAACAGCAAATAAATAATCATGTTTTCAATTTCAAACATCTACACATAAACTATACAAACACTGCACTAAATGATTAACAAGCTGCATAGACAACAACAACAACACAAGCACTGAGGTATAAACATCTAGCACATAGTACTTCCATAAACTCTTGTAGAACTCTGCTAGAAATGCTTTTCAAAAACATCACATCTTTATTGCTAAAAAAAAATCAATAAGTGAACAATAATATCTATGAGCACTGTACATTTCATTTTTAACGTCGTCCTGAGAGTTTGTGTCTTCTGAGTGACCTTCAGGTCAAAGGTCGCAAGATATACAAGTCTGCCGAGGGGAGGTGGTGACCTGATACATCATGGGTTCCTAATGCATTCATCTTCAAAACAAAATAGATGTAAGCCGTCTGGTGTAATATTTAATGAAAGTAGACTAAGTTTGGCATGTATGATGTTCTCCTTGGAAACGTGACTTAACTCAAGCCAAAGCTTTGGAGAGCAATTCATAGTATGAGTTCGGGTGTCAATTCCAGGAGAATTAGTACACTCAAGTTGCGATCTTGTCAATATCAGGTACAATTATCAGAATCAGGCAAGATTGTCAATCAGATATGCAGTATGTAGGGCTTGGCTCCAACACTTTGGACTTCAAAGGAGCTTTCTTTCTCCTTGACTACCGAGTTGCAAGAACTGTTGCAACGTGATGAAGCTCATATGAATCTAGTCAAAACCTTCTTTCTTCTTTCGTCTCCATCAAAACAATTTCAAGTTGGTCCATGTCGGAAGTTACGTCCAATATAGGTCAAAATTAGTTATTCACTGCAGTAAAATTACGTAACTTCCTCATCAAGTTCATCGCCATCTCTGTTGATGTAGGAATGGCTGAACGTAGCCTAAAGGAGAAATCTGTGGCAGTTTCTGTAGCCACAGCTGCAGGGGACCTGGACCACTCCAAGGCTTCCCACAGTTGAAGTCGGCCTACTTCAGGAACTTCCTGGAGCCATTGGTGCAGGGGACCTGGACCACTCTGAGGCTTCCCACAGTTGAAGGCGGCCTACTTCAGGAACTTGGGAACTTCCTGGAGCCAAAGTTGCAGGGGATCTCTCTGAAGGACTTGTTCTGCCCAATTGAAAGTCCTGCTAGTTGAGGTCCTTGGCGGTATTGTCCATAGCCACAGCTGTAGCGGAAAGAGACAACTCGGCTTCAAGTGGCTTCTCCAACAGGGTTGGTTCCTCTAGTAGAGGTACTTGCAGCATTTCCTGGACCCACAGTTGCAAGGGATCTTGACATCCTCGACAGGGAATTCGTTGTCATAAGTGAGCTCCTCTCCCTTCGCTGTAGCAGAGCTCGATTTCTGAAAGAGACAACTCTGCTTCACTTGGCTTTTCAAACAGGGTTGGTTCCCCTAGTTGAGGTACTTGCGGCACTTCCTGGACCCACAGTTGCAAGGGATCTTAACATCCTCAATGGGGAATTTGTAGTCGTATGTGAGCTCCTCTCCCTTCGCGATGCGTCGGCTGGCAAAGATGATGATGTGTTTCTGGCCTCCGACCTCAATCACACGGGAGAAGCAGTTAGACTGGAAGAAAAGAGAGCAGAAAACAATTATTTTTCTAAATTTTGACACAAGAATGATTATCTGGTAACAGGAATCTTTGTTCTGGCATCAAGATATTGTTCTTCTTACATGTAACTGTCCAATTACTGTCTTTATCCTTTTAGAATCTTAGGCAAGTTTGTTCTACTTTTGAATGAGCATCTAATACAGTCAAACCTGCTTTAGTGACCACCTGTCAACAAAAAGCACATTTGTTTGTTTCCATTGAAAATGGTATCTCATTGAAACATGTATTAAAAGACCACTTTTTGTGTTTCCCTTGGGCGGTCGCTGTAGACAAGTTTGAATGTAGTTTAATTAGATACTTGGGATATTATAGTTTAGAATATCCTGTAATATAGTTTTTTGCGGCTTTAAACTCTTTAATTCTACATCTTTCCA